ATATATATATATATATATATATATATATATATATATATATACATATGACCTCTTTCCAGCCCCAAAGCTACCGCCTTAACATGGTGGTCATAATTATGTGCTGCAATAATCCAGCGGGCAACACTAGCTGAAACTTTGCTTCACAAGATGCAATTATGTTAGACAGGCCGAAAGAAGTAGTCAGAACGAGAGCAGCAAGACCATGTACTACGGTCTATGGATAAAGTTGTACTGTCGTATGCGATAAGAGTGTGAAGGGTGGATGCAGCTATTCTATATTTGCACGATGAAGGACGAATTAGTAAAGGTTGGCCCTAAAAATACTTTTCAAATCTAATAGTGCTAGAAGGAGACCTGCAGTGCTTAGCTGCATTAGGAATGGGACAGTAGCACCCTACTCCCCGCCTCCCCGAACAAAGTCGGCTCCACGCAGCCAAGTGAGTCAAACTTTTGAGTTATTGGCTCCGAGAAGGTTCCCACAAGAAAATTCTAAAACCGTTGCCTAGCAGTTCAGACGCTTGCCTAAGAGACTAGGGCTAGGCACCCAAATACAAACCGACATTGCTCCACTCTCTTGTGAACCAGAGTTCTGAGCTAAAGGCTCAAGTCTGGGTACCAAGAACAGACCACTTTCTCGTTCTGGGCAACCAAGAAGTATCATTTGTCCGTTCAGTTATTTGTCCATTGATGTCCATCCTCAACCGTTCCCTCCAAGGAAGCAAACTTTTCTGGGCCTTTGACCGTCAGTTATTTGATCACTGCGCCATATGCATCTTGCTGCCCAAAATCAATAAAAACAAAACCTTGCTGGATGCACGAGATTCCTTTTACAGAGGAGCTCTTAATCTTTATACTTTATTCCAAATTAAAAGACAGGCTTCCAAGACCTTCTAACCCCTTGAAGTTGATAGATGTTTTTATCCTTGAAATGCAGATGTAATACTTAAGTGTCGTTGTGCACCTCAAAACTCCAAGGATGGACTCAGCTCGCTCACATTTACCCCTCTGTACGTCCGCTGACCTAGACTCGATGGCTCGCTATGTATATGGCGTGAGGGTTGTACTTTGTCTCGGACCTGGAAGTTTTTTGTTGGAATGCATCCCAGTAAACATTCTTTTTACGCCATTTGGTTGTCCAGCTCAGTCATGCTTAATGCTTCTCGACAAAGCGGTGCCTGCATACGGTATCGACTTTTGCGCCAACGGATTGCAGTTTTGAAACCGAGAAGGACGCTTTCTCTCCAGATTCATCCGGGACCACTTGTAGAGCAGCAGACACAGTTATTTTGATCTTTTAGGGCGATACGAATGCCAAAGTTGGTCGTCTGAGCTCCTTGGAATTACATCTGGGCTGTCAGTCGCAGACAACAGAAAGCGGCTTCTACTATTGTGTGCTAATAATCAAATATATATGTCCATCATCGAATTTCAACATGAACATTTGCATCATTTGCATCGTGTAACCTGGTGGCCATTAAGTGCCTACCAACCATGGACCCCACTGAATCACTTGGCCACCCGCCACTCGTGGAGAGCTACAGATCAATACTTCTATTCCCTCTATTGCAGGCAACATGATTCCGAACGCGTGATGGTACAAGTACGACTGACTGTTCTTTCAAGCCGTCATATGTCTGCAAAAAGCATTCCAATCCATCATCTTCATCATATGTAAGCAACATCGGTCTGAGCTATCTCAGCTAGTGTCCACAATAAACCAACGCTCTACTGGTAGCGATCAAGTGGGTGAACCATGGCAGAGTGTGAAAGAAGCTATGCTAGCGGTGCCCATTCCTTCTACCCGAACTACCCAATATGACAAATTGATCATTGCATATCATTGGGATCGTTAGCATTTACTGATGACAAAAAATCTACAGCAGCAGTAAACGAGCACGACAGTGCATACAAATTCTTAGAACTTAAACATTGTAGAGCATAAAGATCTGGATCTCCGTTGGACATCTAAAGTTCACCGGAAAGGGCCGGGCCATACAACGTTTGATACGTTTGGTTGCCCAAAGGACAGCGACGGTCAGGAAAGCGATGTGCAAAAAACACGGCTCCTTTATTTCAAGTGGGAAGATGGGCCGGATATTTTGAAAAACAATTTAGCTGGCCTCCTGCAATACAGCCCGTGGAGGCATTTCATATGAGACTATGAAATGTCAACCTTGATCTCCTGTCAGAAAAATAAAAAATGTAATATCCGCAATGAAGCGTGGAAAGTCACAAACTGGATGCTCTGTATCCAGCCCTTTTCAAATTAGGTGAAGGACCTTTGGTGACCCATTGACAAAACTCATTGATGCAACATAGAGTAAATGAAAAGTAACTGCAGAATGGGACACGTCGATTATCAAACCCCAGTCTTCAAAAAGGTGTGAAAATGCTGTGCGAAAACCGTGGCATCAAACTGGTAGCTGTGGCATCGAAGGTTCTCCCAGTCCTATCCTCCGAAGATTGACTGAACACATGGAGAGGCATGTCCGAGAAAACCAGGCTTGGTGCCGTCCTGCGAGTGGACGCAGCGACCTCATTTTCACTTTCCGACGGGCTCTGCAGCAGCGACAGTGCTTCTATTAACTAGCTGGCCTTTCTGGGCTTGAAATCTACCTTTGTTTATGTGGACTATCTGCCAATATGACAGTGTTTATGGAGCAAAAGTGCCCCCGTAAATGCCTGACTCTCGTTAGGACGCTGCATGCTAACTCCCAACGACGTGCGTAGATCTACAAAAAGCTCTCGCCTGAGTTTACTTCATCAGATGTTGTCAGACAAAACTATCTCCGTTCTCCTTTGAATTTGTATATTAAACTAATACGGATCATTCACATCCAGCCTCTAACGCCTGTAATATCCAAGTGCTTCCAGAACACTCGTTCAAATGTTGAGTAGACAGACGATAAAGCTGTTCTAGGATCTGATGCCATTACAATCCAGATAACACAAACAACACAACACAGACAGAGCAAATATTTGGCATGAGCCTCACGCCTACAAAATGTAAGGTCCTGCTGCAAGGATGGGTGGGCCCAAACCTTTACCTCATGCTTACGGTGACTGAGGTATCAGACAAATTTGTTCACCTTAGCAGCTATGTCAGTCCTGGTGGTCAGGCCAAATATAAAATTTCCAACCGAATTAGGAAGGTTGGAGAAGCATCTTTGAACCAGCATCATCTGTCGCCTGGGCGTGACATCAACGTATCTGTCAGATATTGAGTTTGCAATGCTGCGACGCGCTCCGTATTGTTATATAATTCAGAAATCTGGCCACCGAGGAAGTGAAAAATCTTCAATGTTTGACCACCTATTTTTTGGAGCATTTTCTGAGACTTATTGGGGCAGCTAATCGGTAATTTTGAAGTTCATAGAGTTTTCGGAAGAAATAACCTTCTCGCAATAGACGAACTGATTAAATTTCACAGGTTGCACCGGCTTGGTCACGTGCTCGTGTACCAGTTTACTGACTTCCTCTAACAGCCATTCTCGTGCAACCACGCGGAAAGTTGAACCCAGTCAGAGGAGGTCAAACAATGTCTAAGTAGGGAATTATGAAAGCCATTACTCGTGAATTCAGCCGGGCTGCCCATTGACGTCGTCCTGATTGGGGTACACCAGATACGACACATCAGTGGTTAAAAGTATTGTCTGACATGGCTCGGTCGCGCCCTCAGTAGCGCTCATGCATCCAAGCTATTTTGTTCAATTCATAGTTCCCTCGACCTTTCCAATAAAATTTCTTTGACGTCTCTGTATTTAGGCATCAGCAATATCAGCAATCACCTCCTCAAATTATCGGCGAGCAACATGGTAGTTATAACCACTACAAAGCAATCAAGCAATTTTTATAGCTGATAGTGGTTTTATATATGTTACGTAAAAGAGACCACCCACCCCGATGATAGTACATTCTGCAACATTCTATCGGCTTATGAATACATATGACCACCCTATTTAATCCAGCCAGAGTTATGTTTTGAATGGGATCTTGAAAGTTATCTTTGTTTGTGAGCAATCTTAGCACGTCTCCAGCTTAAGTTTCTGTGCACGAAATTCAAAAGCTTTCCTTCCCTTTTCAGAATTTTCCTGATCAGGCTGTTTGCAGATATCTCCCAGTTATGAGCATCGCTTCGGAAAGGCTCTAGTGTCCTTGTTTCACGAAGGTCCAATTGTCCGCCACTCTACATCGGGGTGCATCTCCAAACTATAAACTCTTTTTGTCCTAATGTCGCTATCTAATATCAAATACGACAGTCAGGATTCTTCACCAGATTCGGCTGCCTCCAGTTCAACTGCAGACTTGTTGAAAATCCTCTCCAAAAGTGATGTAATCTTAGAAGACTCACTTTCTGCCTCCGACTTGTCCCTGGATGCCACAAGTGACCTGTTGAGGTAAACAGCGTTTCATTAATCTACCTGATCGGCGGCAATAGGTTGGACGCATCGACGGGTGTCTTGAAGCGAAAGGTTGCCCCAAAACCTTATACAGTCCTCTCGATGCCATATACACCACGGGCACATACCGGCAATGGTAATTAATATGCAACTCTCATTGTTTCACACTTTCCAGGAATACCTTATAATGGTCCCAAGGATGTACATACTGACCGATATGCGACTAAGCGACCACCACGCAATCGTTCCATCTCTGGACCAGGCAAAAGTGGAACAAGAAATCAAGTTAGACCACTCCGGAGGCATACACTCGATTCCCTTGAGGTGTGAAAATCTCCTTCACTTTATTCCAGTTTTATTCTGTCAAGAATGAAGTAGATGAAGTTTAAGCGACTACACGTAGGGTATGGAGTTTTGGTAGAATTTTGGTGTTTCGCTTAATCAATGAACATCTGCGTGTCAGCCATTTTCCGAATAGCGACATTGCAGTAAGAAGTCATTCTCCAGAAAGAAATGGTACACAGATACTCCGCACTTTGAACGAAGTCGTCCAAACATCTTTGTTCTTGATGGCAGTGTGAGATTTGACGATCTTCAATTGTCAGTGAAGCCAACCTATGCTGAGTATCAGCACTGTACAGCTGTTCCAACTTTTCTAGTAACCATCAGTGGTCAGCATCTGACGAAAAGTTTGGGAGCTCTGAAAATTTAATCATTTAGACACGAGCGGCTGATCGGCAGTGTAATTAATCACAGTTAGACAGGATAAAGCTCACGAAGGAGCAGCCAGTATGTGATGACATGATGTGGCTTTAATGATTGAAGGATGAGTGGTGCTCTATCCTGCCAAACTGAGAGCTAATCACACTGTTGAGTAGTTCTTCATGACCAAGCGGTTAAGTTTTGGATCACTGGCTGTAAGATTGCGGATTTAAAGCTCTCGGAGTTTCATCAGATGAGCTGATGGTTCTCAATAGGGATGAAACAGGTCCACAGTGCTTCTTTGCTTTTCAGCAAAGATTTGCTTCACTTACAAAATAAAAACTCAGTTTTGTTCTTGTTTACTAATTCTGTCTTTTGTTTCGCTTCTTCGATATTTTAACTGAGGTTTTTATCACCTGGCTTGCTCAAAATTATCGATAACTTTAATGCAGTGCTTCATCTGCTAAAACGTTTAGTGAAATTAGTGATAGGATAATTTACAACCATAATTACAGAGGTTTATCATTCTTTTTTGTCACACACTTGACGTAGGAAGTTCTATTCTTGATATATAGCATTGTATTTGAGGTCCGCTATCGTGCTTTCCATCGTCCTTGTGGACATAGTTAGAGGATTGTGAACTCTGAATGGAAGACCATCCTCATGTTATTGCCAAGGTGTGTATACAAACCTTTGGTAACTTACGTATAAGTGCACCGCACCGTTAGATTCACTATGTGCAAACTCCCCATTGATAATATTTCTTAGTTTATGTTTAAACCCTAGTGACATTTTTAGGTCAAAGGAAATACCAATATGGGGCATTTTTACTGATTGGTTTCGTTTATCTCGATTCACAATGCCTTCTGATTTTCTAGGAGATAACTTGAAATCGGATTACAATTGGCCACAGTTTTGTTGAAAATGGAGCTGATACTAAGCCAGCAGAGTGTGTTCCACTTTGTAATTAGGTTCTAGGCCATCTCGCCTTCATTATCAATCAATTTGACAAGTTTGCTGACGCACACTATGTGCACTTGAGCGATATTTGAAGGTCTATCGATACAGCGATGCGCGACCGATTGTTTCAAAACTTGGCTCGAACTCCACAGAAGCTTCCGTTTAAAACAGGTTCAGTAAGCAACAGGTGAATTTAACGCCTGGCAATATTTCGCTTCGTCAGGCCAAGTGAATAACTTGCCAATTTAGCTGAGTTTTAAGGCAATAGAAGAACTCATCGGTGAAATTTCTTATCATTGGCTGGCTTGATCAGTGCTGAATGTCAATCCGAAGTTCTCGTTTGCTGGCTAGTGCGATTGATTAGTACTTACAGTGGACTGATTGGAACTTCTGGGCCTTGTTTGTTATGCCCAAGACACCTTCAGGGAATATTCATCTTGGACATCCTTCACAAACTTTGCTGGTCTGTGGGCGTTAAGACAATTGAATTGGGATTGGATTCAGATTGAATAGGACTTGTCATATCTGGGTTCTTTGTGCCTTTAGACCCAGAACATCGCACAGATAATCGCACACCGCCTTATAATTTCCGTTGATCTGAAGCCACCCTTCGCACCCCTGACAGTTCTAGGCGCACTCTTTTCTATTTACGCCGGATTACCTGGTATTTTCCACCGCTTCGAAAACCAGGCGTTCGGTGCTAACCTTAAAGCTTGCCACAAAACCTCCACATTCTCCGAATTCACTCTGTACCCAGTGTTCAATGCATCGCCTGCAATTCCCGAGTATCTGACTATCGCCTGATAGTCAACTACGTTTCTGGGTGATCTGTTTAAGCACCAGTTTGGCTCACAGTTTCTAGTTTGCGAATTCCTTGCTGATAACCATCTTGCGGTTACCACATTTTATTATGCAAAACCCTATCAGTGCGTTGCTGCCATGCCACCTGAAGGAAGTAAGAGGGCTGGGATACTGCCAGGTTGCCCAAGCATAGACAGGAGAAGTCGAGATGCACACAAAGCAAAACGTTGTCCAGCAGTGAATTCATCGGTTGTTTACCATACCTCTCTGAAAGGATGACGGCACAATCTGCCCCAAACCTCTTCCAACTGAATGAAACCCACACGAGCTTCTCGAAAGGGTGGTAGCTCCGATGGCATCGACCTCTTGTTATTGGGTAAAATTGTCCAAGCTGTAGTTCTCATGCATAGCCCATTAAGTCTGGAGTTTTTGAAGACGTAGCAGGCGCCAAATACGGTGCCACAGGTCGCTACCCGCTTAACTTTTCGGTACTGTATCCGAGTTCATGTTCGGACGCACAAGAACTAAAACCTTGGGGATTTCGGCATAACTTATTTATGCTTTCACTGACGGAAACCATTGTTATACCTTATTGCTGCCCCCGCTGCAGTAACTTAATGCCAGAAAAAGACTCGCCAACAAGGAACACAATAGCTCTATTGAGAACAAGCGATTACAACAGTTACAATTGACTTCGCCCTATTTGAATTTCACTTTTCATCGATCCAGGCTGTTGCGGAATTGATTAATTGATTGATTAATTGGGCTTGATGCTTGCCAGCTTCCTTATAGAGACTTTGGTGAAGTTTTATGGTCCCAGTATGTTTCGGGCATCTTGGGGCTATTTTCGGGAATCTCACCTTCCTGACACTATCAGACAGCTACAATGCAGCGATCTGAGCCTCCAATATAAATAGCTCTGAGTAACTTTTCATACCATCATTAAATTTCCGCGGTGACCCCCATATTCCGTTTGAATAAACGGGTCACTGACTTTGAACTATTTATTAAATTTCGCCGGAAAAACAAGAGGCTAGTAATAAAAGATCGGATTGCATCTTTGATAATGATAACTAACCAAGACTCATCTGTTTGGAAATGAGTGTATTTCGCTAATTTCGTGCAATTGCGGTTCAAGTAGAACATAATGTTGACGGAAACTCGGGGACTGCGCCTACCTGATGAGTTTCAAGAAGGACGAAACCAGTCGTGGGCATCCGTATGAGTAGTGCATTACGAATACACATGTATTGCGATATCCAGAATATCATAGCAACTGAAACATGAGGTGGCCTGGTGCAGCACATTCAGTTGCCTGAAATCATCACTAATCAGCGATTCAGCTGTGTTTTTTGGATGTCTCTCGCAAAACCGAATTTGGTTGCAAATGAGTGTATTTCGCTGATAACTAACGAGCTTCGATTAAAAGCGAAATCTGGAATGCAGGCCTTCTAGCTCTCTATGAAAACGCAAAAAACCCTTATCTGTGACCTCATTTTTAACCTTTTCACCTAGAAAGATGACGCTAAGAATTCTTTTAAAACGTTTCATGTTTTTTCAGAAAACAAACTCAGCTGCTCATCCTGGTTTCGCGCAATCACTGAAGAGGCATATAACTGTAGCCAAACCCTCGTTATCTACCGTGAACACGAAATTGTAAGTCTATGCTTGAACACATATGTCCCTTCCAATTTCACAAATATCGCAGACCATACTTGAAAAGTGTCCGTCTGCAACCGAGTAGTGTATTCCGTGCAGAAACGTTTGCCTTAAAAACCTAAATATTACACTTGGTTGGTGGTATGGAACTCCTTAGTTATTCATCGAATTATCAACATCTATGATCGGGTTATTATTAACACTTATTTGTAGGGCTTATCGGTGCGGTTGTGGGCTATATTGAATCGTTTGTACTTCAGCTAGTTTTGAAATATGAAGAAAGACCACTTCCTAGACTACCTTGAATACAGAGGAAAGGAAGAAGGCCTTCGCTGTGGTGTTGTTTATCAGAAAAACACCAACTGAACAGTTACAGACTATTGAACAGGGGAACAAAACTCTCATATGCATCATGTTCACAAAACTGAATATCCATCTACTCCTTGAACGCGTCTTCCTGAACTTTCCTGGATACTCATCGACTGTTAATCAGATGCAATGAAATGCACAAACTTCGTAAAAGATCCCACTTTTCAAGGGACGCGAAGCGGATTTACGAGAAAACACTACTTGCATGCCTCATCAGTAGTATCCGCCATTACACAGGCTTCTCACACACACCGAGCGATCGTGAACAACGACCAACTAGAACGTGGCAACATCTTGTGCGCCAAACTGCTCGTGCTGATTTCGAGAGTGCTAAATGTGGTAGGATAAGTGACAGAAATTGAGGAGTCGGAAATCGCAGGATCACGCTGCTAAAGAAAGTTTGGCACCGAAATTGCTGCATTTGCGTAATTTGATTACTTTATGGCAACTTTCTTTAAAGGAAGATTACGTCGGTTTCGAGAGTGATCCAGAAGTGGTCATCTAGTAAACGCGATCAACAAGGTGCAAGTACAGTATCACACAACTTATCCAATATTCTTGTACTGATTTCTGTTAACTCTAACATGGATCAAATCTTATTGATATAACAAACTACTTACAAGTCTACTGAGAACTCTTGGACCCTCCACCACCGTATTCACCGATGTCAGTATTGTCCACCACATTAAGCTGAAGAACACTAAAAACAAGAAACTCAGCTGGGTTTCTTGTCAACACCAGCGTAATTCGCAAGGCATTCGCATTTCATGCCAAAATTTCAGTGTCTTCCTTCACTGAAAAACGACCGTTTTGAATGTAGCCGAGAGATTCACTGGATTTGGAACTGACAGCCATTGTGAGTTTCCCTGAACAGTCTGGTCCATTGATCCCTCAACTTTGTACTAGCTGGGATACTGGCTAGAGAACACTTAGATAGCCCACTTGAACACTGAACATTTGAAATGCAGTGACCGAACAAAGAAATTGCCCTTTTAGTAGCGTTACATTCCTGTCCTGTTGTGTTGTACCTTCCTAAGGGAGTCATCTTTCGTCTACTTCCGTGTAATTGGACCCTCATTCAAGACGAACTATTTCGGACAACAATCATACAGAATATTTTTTGCTTTTGTTAGTTCTAATAAATGGTCTCAAATATTTGCTTCTTTCCAAAAAGAGTACGCCAAAGATCGTGTCCAAGGACAAGAAAAGATCAGGGTGCTCAGGAGCAGCGAGTGGATGATGCAATCTGTCATCGCGAAGATGAATCAAACACGCCCTCCTATTCGCTAGATTTCACCGATGATTTGTGCTCACACTCCCGGCCGGATGAGATCGAACAGGATCCTAATCTGCTGGACAGCAGTTCGAAAAACAGTGACCGGTCGGCCATCGCGACGAAGGTTGAAGAGCTAACACCGTGGGAAAGGTGGCTATTACAAAAAGAGAAGATTCGTCGACAGGAGTTGAAGCGCCTTCGTCAGAAAGAGGTAAGTCCCACTGGCTCTTACTTGAAAGTGTTAACTACCTTTGGGGGGGGGGGTTACGTGTGAAACAATGCTGGCATCAAACATGGTTAGGAAAAGGAAACTAATCACAAAGTTGCTGAAAACTCTTCAGCAGCCCACGACCGATTTCGCTCTTCTTGGGCGAAAGATTCAGTTGAGTCTTTGTGAAAACCAAATTGATTTGCAAATGAGCGTATTTCTCGAAAACGGTCCAATTTGGGTCCAAGTAGAACATAAGGTTGACGGAAGGTCGGGGACTGCGCCTACCTGATGAGCCCCAAGAAGGGCGAAACCGGTCGTGGGCTGTCGAACAGTTTTCAGCAACCTTGTGAGTAGTTTCCTTTATGAAAATATACTGCGATATCTCGAATATCGTGCCAACTGAATCATGAGGCGGCCTGTGTGCAGCACATTCAGTTGTGGAATATCATAAACGAGAGATTCAGTTGAGCCCCTCGTAAAAACCAAATTGATTTGCAAATGAGTGTATTTCTCGAAAATGGTTGGGAAAACCTTATTTTTCAATAACTTTAGTGTTGAACACAACTTTCGCCAACATTTACGGCTGCCACGTGAAAGTTTCATCACTGTTCTTTGCAAAAGAGCAGCCAACATCCTACAAAAATACTAAAAGTTTGCGTGAACAAGTACATTCGCACATTTGCGCAACAAAAAAATACACGGAAATGTGCAACGGTCTCTGTAGTTTTTAACCCATCTTCGACCTTTTCCAAATCGACAACGCCTGAGCTATCATAAGTAGTCCAGCACAAATGCCTTGTTCTCTGTGGTTTGTAGTGAACACGGATTCATATAATGCTAGCTAGTGATCACCTGAATTGTCAGCTACATCCAGTGGGTAAACGGTTGGAGAAACGATTCATGGGTTAGTTGGTCACTGAGTCGAGCTGCTTACGCCACAGTCAGACTAGGTTGTGGAACTGGACTAACTCAGTGGGGTTGGGAGCAACACAAGTTGAAAAACAATACAAATTACTTTTGATATGTAGCTGGATTAATATGGCGTTTGCGATTGTGCTCGGTCAAGAGATACCCCCAATAGGACGTCAAAGGCGCATTCTCGTTCTGTGATATTATCAGCTTTGCCTGGGTATTATGAAATTGCTTTTGAGCTGGTCTTGTTTCAACCAGCTTGAGCAGTGTTCACATATTCTCTCTGACAAGAGCTTGATCGAAATGTTATGCTAGACAGCAGCACACCAATGAGTATACACAAAAGCACAAGTTGACAATTTTTCTTCCAAAAAGAACGTGAGGGGTCGGCTGAAAGTGGAACTCAGGAAGAGACTAACAGGCAAGTAAGTCCTCCGGCCCAACAACAGTCTGCGTGGCGTAGCTATTTTGTAGACCCCATGGTGTTCCAAAGGAAATTGTGGGTTTTTGAATTTATGCAATATTGTTGTATCGTGGGTGACCGTCTATTGGTTACGCCTGCACTGAGCTTGTCAGACTAGGCGATAAGAAGACAGAGAGGACTGGACACGGCTGTATTGTCACGACAAAACATACAGAGCTTCTGCATAAATATATAGGATGACTAAATGGCGAATTATTGTCGTCTACTTGTTCGTTCTGTACAGCCAATGGTGCTGTTCCGGTGGTGAACGTTTTCAGCCACACTCCGCTGGTCGTATGTTGCTAAGCCGTGTTTGGTGAGCTCCGCCATTGCACCTGCTATCCGCAACGTGTGATACCGATCATGACCTTGGGGATGCCTCATTCTCTGTACATGTGCTTTTTTCATGTCTGGGCACGTCCTGACACTTCCCTCTTTTGAAGACAAATCGTAGGTCCTCAACCTGGGATTTATCTGCAACCGTTTTACCGGAATTCTTCGTCGTCCATTTCTTCTTTGACACAGAGATGGGTTCGATGTCATCCCGTGGTTGGTTAGAAGAGCACCAGTGACGCCGTCCCCTCGAGATTTCAACACAGATAGTTTAAAGGAACACACAAACCTCCTGGGTTGTCCATTTGGTTGAGGGTGGTACGACAAGGACTTAGTGCTCAGACTCCACCCTTCTGAGTCCTTCTTCCAAAACGAATCAGACAGCTTTTTGAGTATATTCGGTTTCGTTCCCTGTGTTTCGTATCATATATTATTGAGTGGCCGGCCCAAAAGGTTTAGCTTGTCAATCCAATCTAATCCTAACAAATCCAATCCAGAGCGATCGGACACATGACAAACGCTACTGACGGTGATACTGTCGAAAGTCATGGAACATTTGAATTCACCAGAGAGTTTCAGTAAACTGCTGGATGCACTTCTTGCAACCTGTATGGTTCTGGTTAATTCTGGGCTGCCAAGAAATCTCCAAGTTCCTTTTAAGATGATGGTGATGTTCGATGCCGTGTGCAGCTGAAGACGAACAGGGCCGTTAATACACACTGATACGTATTTCCTCCTGTTTGTGTGTGGGCTTCGATGCGCGGCCAGAACAACGCGAGCCTTAGGAATCTTGGCATAGGAAAGTCTGGTTCGAAAATGCATCTTGGGTGCCTGTCTTTGCTTGCCATGACACCGATCTTCCTTGTGTCCAGTAGGGGAACATCTACTGCAACGGTGCTTTCTAAACGGACAAAAGTTGACGAAATGCCATTTACCCCAACTCCGTTGGTCGTATATATGATGAGGACGAACCGGACAAGAGCATATGTACTTTTGGGTAATAACTGAAGCAAAGATCCTACTACTTCGTGACCATAAAATACAATAATATTTGTGTCTTTCTCCAAAATTTGAAAGTCGGTTGTTTCTCCGTCCAGAGGCAAACGGAGAGTCAAAGATTTTCACTGTTTCAAAGGTGCCTGCTCTTGAGAGGGCGGCGGAATGTGAATCACATCTAAACTTCCCATCACTTGTGCGTTTCCCAGGCAAATTTACGTGCGAAACAGGCCCAGGCAGCTGCTTCTCAAGCTGAAAAAGAGCAGCGTTCGTTGGCTAAATGTAAAGAATGGCTAGAGTCCAAACAGCGTCTACTCAAGGAGCGAAACGAAGCAGCTGCGATGGCTCGCAAGGAACAATTGTTGAAGGAACGGTTCAAAAAAGAATCTAAGGTGAGTCGGTCTTTTAACTCTGCTGGTATCAGTTGCCCCGATTTCGGAGTACACTACAAAGCATTGGTTCTTTGAAAGTTCAGTTTATCAGTTTCCTATTTGAATTTTAGAAATTGGAGTCTGAGAGAAAATATGCACTATGGTGTGAACAGAAGAAACACGAGGCAAAAGAAACCGCGGAACTAATTAGACAAAAGGAACTAGCTGCAGCTGCGTCGGCTCAACGACGGAAGGAAGAGGCTATGGTAAAATTCGTCGCCTGGATGAAATCGGCTCAACAAAGAAAACCAAATCCACCTGTGTCTTACGGATACGCGGACGGAACTGTGATTTGTAAGTCACTGGTATCACTGGCTAGAATCGTAGAGACCGGACTGCACAAGATTTCGTTTAGTTGAGGAACTAGTTCTTACATGGACGGCCGAAGCACTGATCTTGGACGGCCACGGTTTCAAACGCAGCGTGTGACCTGATGTCACACGGTCCACCAAATTTCTGTGGTGACGTAAAATAGAGCAAATACAAAGCGAATCACCCATATGCTGCGTTTCCCATTTAAAAAGCCAGTAAAATAATGGTCGCATCAGTATATTCAGGGGAAGGAGCTCCAGGATAATGCACAGGAAGTATAGAATCCACAGTTATACGTGGGATAAAGGGCACCACAAACTGTAAGCTTCAGAATGAGCCTAGATCCCACTAGATTGAAAGAACGGTAACAGAACTCAGCTGGTGTGATTTTGGCGAGAGAAGTTAACAAGAGCAACGACATGGAGTTGCAGTATGATAGAGATTGGGAATCAAAATGTGGGGGCACAGTAACGTTCGGAGCTTAAGGAAGAAAAATTAAATGTAACTGTATTATTCTGATTTTTGTGAATCGATTCGTACATTTCTGCCGCATACTGGAGTATTTCCAAAGCTATTTTAACGAAAGGATATGCTTTTGTTCAGGGAGAATATTGGTCACAATAACATTAGTGTTCCATCGGGACTTCCATACACTGAGGGGACAGTCTTTCTAATTTGAAACCATTCTGTTATTTCCCGTGAGAATCCCTTAGAGAAAAGGAGTGTCGTGGTTAGAACTGGGTGATGGCTACCAGTTTATAAATCCAGGTGAATATCTTAGGAACGAAAAAACAGACGCTGAAGCGGCTGCATTTGCGTGTGAAGTTCAGGGACGTGACAGAACAAGTCGAACGGTGATTTGCCAGGGGTTTGATGATTCATACAGGTGCAAAGTTTATGAAGAGCGCATTGAAAACAGAGATGACCCTGGAACATAATGAAGGATTAAACACTATGTCAAAGCCTGACTGGATTTATTCAATGGAGAATAGTTCTCAGATTGTGGCATCTGAGTTCCTCACAGAAGACGGGACTAGCGGGTGGCCGGGTAGTTATCTGCAGTTCCTTATCGGCAATCGTAATGAGGAGGCGCTTCAGAGCAGGATCTACCAGTGTACAACACTGGTCTTGGTGCCGATGAAACTCAGCAATTACCTAAGCGCCAGGTCAAGCACCTTGCCTATCTAGCTGATACCGTAGATGCGATGTTGTAATCTGTTCGTGTTGCCTTAAACTGAACGCATGAGTGTACCCCGTTGCATGCACAGCCAAGCCTGTTAGATTTCGGGTCTACCTGGGTACGCCTCAGAGCCCAGAACAGCGAGGCGTGAGAAAATGTCTTGTAGAAACTAGCTACTGGGTCTTTTTCTAGTAGTACGAACCGAGGTGAAACTATTCACGAAAGCGAGACCTTTATGTACGACTGTTTGTTTTAACCATAGCGCAATAGAGGACGTGAAAAAGCCCTCCCCTAATGCCTGAGCTTTCCCAACCGGGTTATTTTGCACGATATACACTGTATTAACCTATGTCAGCTCCGTTTATGGACAAGACATCCTCTCCACTAAAGCGCCATTATCACTGATGCAACGAACTTAAAGGACTGACCGAGAGTCACCTCTTTCCTGGGTGTTCACTCATTGGAGGGACTTTGCTAGTAACCATCTAAGAGTGTTCTTTTTCGGGTATTGGCCCGTGTTTGCTGCAGGCCTTCCAGGAAGCAGATTTTATCTCAACCCGTAGGCAACGCACGAAAACATAGCCTACATCAGGTACTTCATTTAATGACCTCCTCTCTTACACAACCGAATAGCTACGCACATCATTCACACGAAATAAGTCGTTGACCAATCAGAAAGGGCAAAGAAGTCAAAAGAAATCTATTCATAACATGATTAATCTGGCTCCTAATCAATATTCTAACCGATCGAGGCGAGATGGCTCAGTGGTTAAAGCACGAATTTACTAACCGGAAGGTTCGAAATCGACCTCTGCATCTGGACTTCCCTTGTTTAGGCTTGAGCGGCCTAGCAGTATCCCAGCCCTCGTGCTTCCTTCGGGTGACATCGTAGTTAGGCACCGAAAGGGTGCTACCGCTGAGATCTATGACTGCTAATTTCAATGCCGTGACGGTAAACAATCGAAAGCCCTTCGTGAGCAGAATAGGCATCCTATAATTCTCAACTGTACTTAATCCCTATGAAATCCAGTTCACTTGCATGTACTAAAGTTGTCCCATCTATCTTTTACGTTTAACCAAGGCTATTTTGACAGAAGTGCCAATCCAAAACCGAGTTACATCAATCCGAATCCATGGATCAGTCCAATGGAAGGATGATCGTTCAAACTTGACAGTGGCGGCTGGTTCCAATTTCAATGATTTCAGTGATCACAATGTCTTCGTTGACATGCCGCAGAAAAACTGCTCCACACGGTAATGTAATGTGTACCAAGATGCTAGTGAGCATCCAGTGTGAATAAAACAACGAAACAATCCAATTACGTTCTGATTTTTACCCCATCCCAGTTACAGCAAAGGAAGATAGGCACCAACCACAGGGTTAACGCTAGGGGGATCTGCTTGTTTTGTGTTGCACCAAGCAAAACGAGAATCACATGATCTGCGAGTCACCAGCAGCTGAGCATATAGTTCTATTTGGAATAGAGCAACTTGGGAAACCAATGGTGTCCGGAAGCTAGAATAACAGCCAGCAAAGCGCACGTTTGGCGTGATAACTAACTAGAACAATGTATGACAAAAACTTGTGAAGATGGTTAACAGTATGTAGAGTAAAACCTCAACACAATGATCGATAACGGGAAAGGGAACTGTAACCAGCAGGTTTGTGGACATCGCATGGTTACCTATCCGCGTTTCGTTCCGTAGGTGATTCCACCCATAACCATGTTTTATTGGAATGCATGAAAAGCATTCCATCTTACACTACTTATACACCATAGTAGTATATTCGCAAACCGCCTAGGAAGCATCCGCTAATGGACGCTTCATCATCAGCTCGTTACGGCTATGTGACAACATCCTACTCAGTTTTTCTGGATACGCAACCAACATTCGATCATAATGCATCGGAAATGTCGCAAAGTGACTAAGCGAAATCGCAGAGACTAAGTAACTGTTGAAAAACTATTTTCACACACAAAATAGACATCATGCAATCACTTCGTGCTGCCAGAATGCATTCAAAAACCGAGAGGGAGAAAGATGATGATAAAAGTTTACTAGAGAGTGGGTCTGTACATGATGGAAGAGTAGCTATGACAGTGCAACACATTAATACTCGTCCAGTTCTGGGCACTGATCCAATTCAGGAATAGAGTTTTTCAAACGATTCCAATCGACGTGATGCTTCATCAGATATGTCCCTTTGTTTTCATGGGTTAGCTGGGTTCCCACAGACAGGATGTGGAAAACTGGGATGTCATATTGATATTTCCGCCACACGGAGTTCTTCGCTTCCGTGATGTCGACTAGTTGCAGACGGAACTGAAAACGACGGTGCACAAGAAAAACGGCAAGTGACTGAAAAGTTTAGAAATGTATTGTTGAACTGATTACACAATTTATGGGAACGGGCTCATTATCCACAAAAATAAAAAAATCGTTCAGCTCTAGCACTTTTTCGGTGCCTAGCTGCCATGCCGCACGAATGAAGCACGAGGGCTGGAATACTGCCAGGTCGCCCAAGCATAGACAGGGTAAGTCGAGAGGCAGAGGTCGGGTTCGAACCACGGACCTTCCGGTCAGTAAATCCGCGCCCCAATCACTTTTCCACCACGCCCCCACAAACATCATATTGCGTTTCCATCGCAGCACTTGTAATTCCGGTGCATGCTGAAGTGCGGTGTTTGATGATACAGACAACGGAACAAACAATGCTTGCGGTTGCTGGACTGAACTGATTATAGCAGCTAGTGAAGTACAGTAATCTCTTCCAGAATGCACAACGGTACTCCCTATTTAGAGTTGGGGTATTGTTTTTTTTTATTGCAGCAAACACGCCACTGTATGTCTACTGATGATGCCCTCTATCCTCGGTCCCGATGGATACGTAATTTTAGGAGCATTCGATAAGATTTGTTGTTGCTGAGGCTTGTGTAATAAAGTAGGTGCCGGGTAAACCGAACATACGCTCTGTTTTGCCAGAAAAGTGAATACCCACGGGATAACGAAAAACCTGCTACCTACTTACTTGCAGGACACAACTCGAAATGATATGAGGCAAGAAAGTCAACCAACTTACACAAATTTTAAGGAACATGGTCACCCCCGGGATTAGGGACCTTCAAGAGGGACCCTTTTAACTAGGTCCCATAGGGGACCAACGTATTTCAGAATATGAGAGGGATCTGGGGCATCAAATCACTAGTAATGCGAGTAATTTACAAAGTCAGTGAAACTCCCCACGATTGTTCCAGCTTAATGGTGATACTATCATAAGAGTAACTGGTTTCACCCCTGTCTTCGTGAATGTATTAGCTTTGATCAACTGCTATGTAACCGAAAAGATGCCGGTTCTGTGTGCAGAATTTCGTCCGTATATGCTACGTAGGGCTCATTGATTAACTTATCTGTTTTCTTTCACCATACACACGATACTTCTTGAATCAGAGTTTAATCTTCTTTGAACAAACAGGCCAATCGCCGAACGATACTAGATATTGTTTTCGAGCGGGTGATGGATTCTGTGGGCATCGGTCAGCCATAGCTCAGTAACACCACAGGTGTTTTGAGCAGCTTCGAAAACAGGATTATTATGACATTAATCCCACATTCACAACCCCTGAATGCATCAGTGCTTAAAAAATGGTCCAACACACTGAACAGGTTTGAACGTCACGAGTCCCAGGTTAAGAACTGTGTGATGACTCGACTTTCATACGCTTCGTGGTTACAAGAACTTTTTTCACAATTCAGGGAGTCTCTTCTATCTCAAAGAACAAATGATGTTATTCTGCACAACCATCTACACACTGGTACCTGTAGTTACATTTTCAACTGTCTTGATTCGCACAATCGAATTCGCTAAGTATGCACACATTCGTGACATCTCTCTTTGACCTAAAATATCGGTGCTGCCGTATTACAAAAGGATGTTTCCGTTACCTGCATGTAAACGGTGATTTCTGGGTTTTCTATCACCGTAAAAAAACTGTTGTGGTCTCGTGGTGTAACGGTGATATTACTGACAGGGAGGCATGCGAGTAGTATGTTTTCTTCTTGTAAGTTTGCTGTGCGTCTCTTGAAAAGGGAGATCTGTTGCGGAATTTGTGGAGTCGCTTTGTAGCATTTGCTTTGATTTGAACAACAGTCAATAAATATCCAGGAAAGTTCAGGAAGACGTGTTCAGGAGAAGATGGATGTTCAGTTTTTGTAAATAAGATGCAAATGACAGTTTTGCTTCCCTGTCCAATAGTCTGTAACTGGTCAGCTGGCTTTTTCTAATAAATAACTCCGCAGCGAAGGCCTTCTTCCTTTCAGCGGTGGTCCCCATATCCATGTTAAATTTGCTTTGAAGTCAGTCGAAATACACCGTCCCACGGTGAAAGCGCGATCCACCTGAAGCAAAAGATATTTGATTTCCACCGAACTCTTATTTCCGAAGTCTTCCATATCGATGGTGGACAAGTGAGCAAATATAATGACTGGTATATTGTTATGTCTTGATGTACGGTAATGCAACTCTGTATCAGTCCCTTGGCTTCCTTGTTCCGCCCACTATGGTATAACAAAAGGCACGGTAGCTCTACACAGCCCTTTATGGAGACAAAGGAAAATCATTACAACTGTATTTATAGGGTAGTCACAGGATGTTCCACAAGGTCGTGCCAGAATGTCCTTGAGGGGGCGAGAAGCGTCGAGTCAAAGGTGCTTGACTCGGATTAGCTGGCATTCTGACCAATCAGGGCATGCCTTTGTCCGGCCCGTGACACATCCGTCCAGATGATGTGATGTTCGGTTATTAGGGACGGCTGGCCCCCGAACATATATAAACATACTTCTTACTGCGATGATTTTATTTGAAGACACCTGTGTCCGTTCTTGTAGCGTTGTATCTGTTAGCAAGAAAGACGTGCCTAAAGTGTTCGTCCGACATCACATCTCGTGAGGACAGCCCAGATAAAATCTTGAGGCTTTTTCAGCAGTGGCCGAACACACCAAAATGTCTTGTCAAAATCCAGGGTAACAAGAAGGGGTCGGTAACCAAGTTAAAAAGTAGTCACGAGAGAACTAACCTGGGTCTCTGAAGTACAGTCGTCAATTTTTATCTACTCGACCACCCGGGACGGGTCTTTGTGCGTTACTCAAAATTTTTACGCAAAATTTTTATTCGGAATTCATCTAAAACTATATTCCTCCTCGATTTCACTGCAAGACCCAGAGTTGCCTCGTTTTTTTTAAAAAATTAGGTAACGCCTGTAGATGTTCATTTCCTGAATCAATCAATCCCACGCCCGCAGAAAAATGTATAGATTCACTTCTGATAGCCAGTGTAAAACACTAGGTTGCCCTATAGAAATCGGTTAACTTCTTCAGCCGTGAATAAACGTTTCACCTGCTATAGCCTCGTTCAGCGGTAGTAAGGAATGCCAATTCATGCGCGGAATTGAGTCTAACCAACCCAATTTTGACCTTCTGGTCAGATGTGGACTGGGAGGGCGAAGCATCGAGGACCACGGGTTCCTGGGGGAGAGATCGCCCCGAAAAACGGCCACTTCAACACGGTCAGATAAGATGGGGCCTGGAAGTAATATCTCCAAAAAGCCTCTGACAGAGTCCAATCCAGGTGTTCCCAAAGCAACTCTCCAGGCAAAGGTGCAAACTAGCATTGGATTCTTTTATACTTTACCGCCAAGTAGATACTCACACTACAGATAAATCCGCCCCGGCTGCCCTTTTTATCTATGTCACACAACAGTTCAGTGAAAAAGAGCAAAACGACAGGCGTTTGTCTTCAAATTCAGCATAGCTGATCACAAAAACGAGGACTGTTTCAAAGAGACCACGTTATGTAGTAGAGATCGCACAAAACTCTATTAAGGGCTAGAGGCACAGGTCATGCAGTCAATTTAGACGAATAGTTTCGAGTTAAAAATACAATGTACTCAGTAGATACTTCATGCTATCAGTAAAGCCAATCTACGCTGAAAAGTCGAGAAGTACTGCACAGCTGTTTCATTCGGCAGTGTGCATCTCACAAAACTCAACGGGGGTTCGAACCCGCAACCTTCCGACCAGTGGTTGAACACTCGACCGTTTTACATGAGTGACTGAGCATCAGTGTGCTAAAAATTCATTTGTCAATAATGGAAACTACAGCATGTGGTAACTTGTCGACTGGCCCTTCGAGTGAAAACTTCTCAGAAGGAAGTTTTACGCGTCTTGTGAAATTATCCTTTCCCATCGTTTGATAGTAATGTGACAGGATGAAATATATGTTGAAGTGCCAAATTTCCTCAAACATTTAATAACCCGTGGACTTCCGGTACGGTTGCAATTCAATGCATTTGCTTCTTATGTAAAGTTATCAGAGTTCACTGGCCAATAACGAGCTTTAACAGGTTTGGACCTAGTTTTCATACTTTCCTATTGGGTATCAAGTTGGGATACAGGGATTCTTAACAAGAGTGATGTAAATCGAATCTTCCAGAAATTAATCACAAGTAACCCGAAAAAGTTTCGAAGATAGTCAGTGATCTTTCCGAGTTTGCTGGATTGATTACCTCTCCATCAGTTCGAGGCTTTTTCGCGCTCGAGCTCTCCTCATTTCTAGAATATATGATGAGACATTCAGAAGAAGAAAACCATCATTTGCGAGTGACCACGGTTGTACCTACGCGTGATAAACTCTCGTTGCTGTTGTTGTCGCTGGCACTAACTTACAGTGCTGTTTTGTCATATGATGATCACGTGCCAACAGGCGCGGTCAGCTGAGACCAGATTTGTGGCTCAAGTTAGATTTGGTGCAGAAACTTGACCTATCTGAGGATGTGAAATAGGTTCTTCAGGCACGAGATGTGTTACATCACGCGTTTAAAGAGAGGTGAAAGAACACACGAGGGGAATAGGGAATGAACCAATGAGTTGCATCCTTTCACATGTTTTGTGCTTTATGCAGCACAAGGGTTCGAAACGTTATTCAAAAAATTTCAGGGTATGGATGCCGATAGACAGCACTGTTCTATTGATAAGAATACTTTGTTATTTTAGATGGGACAAAGTGACCAATGTATCTACTCCTATTTCATCTAAACACAACGGAAGATAGGCATTTTAAGAGGCATGATAACCCCTGCGTGTATTTCCAACGTCTGTATAAGCGCCTTTAGCGGGCCAAATGAAACATGAGGCAGCGTTTGTTCGGTACACTTGGACTAAGAGTATTATCTCGTTGACATCAATTTAAGTTCCGAGTGAGTGCACAATTCATACACGTCTATTTCGGTGTTCAAAGACGAAACGAGATGGATGAAACCTCAAGGAATATCCCTAAGTGAGGAGCTCAAAGAAGGTGGAAACCGACACTGGGTCATAGCAGTAGATCATCTCAAGAAAATCAACATTAGTTAACAGAACTTTATGACAGTTTTCGTGGCAGTAAATTTATTGGATTGAAGCCAGAGCACCCCCTGTCTATTTGCATTACCCCACTTGTTAAGAAAGGAAATAGGTTTGATGGGCTGTTGAATAACAGCTCCTTTGACACTATCAGACCTAACTTTTCACCAGCAGTCAAGCTCGACTTAGCTCAGCTCACAGATGGGAGAGTCTGTGGTTCGAACCCGAAATAGGCATATCGACGCTAGTTTTCGTGGCAGTAAATTTATTGGATTGAAGCCAGAGCACCCCCTGTCTATTTGCATTACCCCACTTGTTAAGAAAGGAAATAGGTTTGATGGGCTGTTGAATAACAGCTCCTTTGACACTATCAGACCTAACTTTTCACCAGCAGTCAAGCTCGACTTAGCTCAGCTCACAGATGGGAGAGTCTGTGGTTCGAACCCGAAATAGGCATATCGACCTGTCTGTCTGGACTTGGGCAAGCTGGCAGTATTTTCGCCACCCCCCCTCACGTAGCATGGTAGTTAGGCTCCGAAAGGGTGCAGGTGGTCACTCTGTCGAACCTGTTCAACAGGTTGTCGGTCCCTCAATTCACGCTTACTCTATATTTGCCAAGTGAGCGGACAAAATGACAGAGGCGAGGTACCGTGGTTAACAACACGAGACCGTTACCAATGGAATCAGGTGTTCTCTATCCCCCTACATGTACCTGCTGGGAACTAATAGTGACGGTGACGGAAGCACTGTCAATTCGAACCTTTCGGGATTCGATCAAGCCTCTATGGTAAACATTCGACTATGTTCCAAGGTGCTGTCTTGCAGACAGTGTTACAACTTCTATTTGGTTCTAGGATTGCCGTTCAGCCCACTACTGTAAATCCAAAGGCATGGTAGGTTGAGGCACCTGTACTTATATGGTTATCAAACAAGGTCGAATCAGGATACCCCTGGAGAAGATTGGCAAGCGCCGAGCTAGAGATTCTCGATCCTAACTGGCTAACATTCTGACCAATCAGAACATGCCTTCGTTCGATCCGTAGCCGGCTCACAGTACATCATCATCGTCAGCCGTAATAACCGCGTACTTGCCGTACAGTGGTTGTAGCTGCCACAGTTTCGTTCACCGATGATTTGGGGAAGTGGGATGGGTAGCTACGCATTGGAGGCGGAAGCTGATAAATTAGTGCGTAAATACGGCACTGTCAGTAGACTGTTAAGTGGGGGAATTGGGAAGGGATCTATGCATTGAAGGCAATAGCTTGGATGCATGAGCGCCATTGAGCGTGCGACTGGGCCATATCTGACAATGTGGACCGTCTCGGGGTCCCCATCCAGGAAGACCGCAATGACCAGCTCAGATGAGTTTGCTAGTACTGGCTTTTATACTTCGCGGCCAAGTCATTGTTTGGCCCCCTCTGGCTCTCGTCCACTCTTCAAGTGGTTGTACGAAAAGAGCCCTTCGAGGAAGTCGGTCGAGTGGCATACGCATCACGTGGCCAAGCCAGGGCAACCTATGCGGTGTGATCAGTTCATTTGTCAATACTAATAACTAGCCATTCAGTCACTACGGAATTGCAGCACGTTTTTCTAAGGCATTCGCCAGTGTTGTGAGTTAATTTGAATCAAGAGCTCACACGAGTTTGAGATAGTGTAATCCAGAATCACGAGAGTATCGGAATCCCCTCAGTGCTATCAAAAAGTGAAACATTCTCTCAGTTGATCGTATCAAAATTTGAAATAAGGTCAAAGGACACGCAAAAGTTCCACGAATGTGCGGTGGGTGCTACTGAACGAGCGAGCTCCACCGCTAGTTACAATCAACCGACTTACATCACAAACACTTGCCCATCCATCGGTTCCAACGTTAGTGATGTTTGGAGGCGGAAGCTGATAAATTAGTGCCTGAATACAGCACCGTAGGTGGACTGTTAAGTGGGTGGATCGGGAAGGGAGCTATGCGTTGAAGCTTGGGTGCATGAGTGCCATTGAGGGCGCGACTGGCCCATGTCTGACAATGTCTCTAACCATTGATGTGGCCCGACTCGAGGTCCCCATCCAGGAAGACGGCAGTGACCAGTGTGTCCAATTGACGTGATATTGGCTTGTTTTGGGGGTCTTGCCATCGCACACAAGCCTTATCGACTGTCAGACTTCAAATCAGATGGGCGAGCATTCAGATTAGACGGTCTCACTGTCAGATTAGCTGGACAAGTGGATGCCAGATTAGACCGCCTAGGTGAATAGCTCGAGTATTTTGAATTCGTTGGTTTCTTTGTGACCCTTTCTATAGAATAGAACAGACCGAATTCGTCAGTCCTTTCAGTGACATCCTTAGAAAGGGATAACTACACTTGGTGAATTCCTTCGAACTGCACCGTCGAACATGCAGCAACGGTGCGTACGAAAGCCGAATGCATTAAGTTATTGAAATTTCTCCAAATCTTGACCAATAAATGTACTTCTAAGAACGAAATTCCTCATCAATACGCACTAAGCATGTAGGAAGTAGCAATCGTTTCGATCAAAGATTCACAACGAAGCTTGTCGTACGACGAAATTTGATGTGTGCACTTAGCAATGGACTCTCGCATGACAAATCAACGTCGCGTACATGCAAAGATTAATTGAAACGCAATCGTGACAGCTTGTCACACGAAGTGCCCATTATGATGGAAAAAGGTATAAACTTACATATTTGTTTGCATACGGTCGCAACTGTTCAATCGCAGCGCGACACAAACTGCAGTCCGGTTTAGTAAACATCACTAACGTTGGAACCGATGGATAGGCAAGTGTTTGTGATGTAAGTCGGTTGATTGTAACTAGCGGTGGAGCTCGCTGGAAAATACGGGGCGGTCGGGTAACCAGGGATGAAAGACGGGATGACAACATCTTCTTTGCACCAGAAGTTAACCACACAGAGAGGATATGCGATCCATGAGACTAAAATGGATAAAAGGGCTCGATTTTTGCGCATTCGTATTTTACTGCGACACAGAGGATGAAAAGAATACTGTTTTCTCTAATGAGGATGCATCACCATGCCTTCAAATATATAATCAATATTCGCTGTTTTACCATGGATAATAAACTCCTTTGGTTAGTGTTATTGAAAATGTGAGTACTCATCATGCGAGAAAGATAAGAAGAAGAGGACGAGATCGACTAAAAGCGATCACCATGGAGATATGGCCTCAGCAGAGCTAAACTGTACAAATCTGTTTGGAAAGCATGTGTGAAGTAAAGAGAGGAGTCCAGACACTCACAAAAGTAGTATATCAGTGTTTCCGGCTTTTTCATAGAAATTTCGTCTCCCAGCCTTATGCAGCGGTCAAATTTGAAGAGCCTAAAATGAACAACCTTTAGTCTCACAAAGAAAACTACTCACAAGGTTGCTGAAAACTCTTCAGCAGCCTTGTGAGTAGTTTCCTTTATGAAAACACACTGCGATATCTCGAATATCGTGCCAACTGAATCATGAGGCGGCCTGTGTGCAGTACATTCAGTAGTAGGATGTCATAAACGAGAGAGTCAGTTGAGTCTCTCGTGAAAACCAAATTGGGTTGCAAATGAGTGCATTTGTCGCAGTCAGCCTAATTTGGGTTCAAGTAGAACATAAGGTTGACGGAAACTCGGGGACTGCGCCTACCTGATGAGCCCCAAGAAGGGTGGAGAGTTTTCAGCAACCTTGTGAATAGTTTCCTTTATAAAGAGAGCAGTCTTTATTTTGAATGCGGTTATGAATAATATTATTTTCCGTCCATTAAAATTCGTGAGATTGGAGAAAAACATGCAGTTGTGCTTAGCTGAGGGAATGTCCAGCGTCTGAATGTGTGGCATGACCAAATTCATAATGAAAACCCGTACTGGAAAAAGAAGACGAGAAGTTGCGTATTCGTAGCGCAAACAAAATGGAAAAGATAGGCTATGGCTTAGAAACAAGGCACGTGACTCCTGGTGGATTGGTCAGCTTGTGGGAATCGAAAGCGTCGATTGGCAGACAAAAAGATGACATTATGAAGCAGGAACTGAGACGTTTTCAGGTGTTCGACAGTCGTTGTTTCAGGACCACAGCTCGTGTGAGGTGGTGTCGACGAATCCGTTAAGAGGCTATTTGAAAGCGAGTTTCCGGTTGTGAAACGGGGACTTCTGTTGAACCATGTGTCCAGAACCAGAGGCTGAGTCGGTTAGGCCATGTATTGCGGATGCCAAACCATCGTGCTATTTTCCGTGCCCAATTCAGAGTGGCGCAAGTAGAGAGGTGACGACCCCTGGACTTGGGAGAGGAATACGAAAGAGATTACGAGTTTGGGTGATGCCGGTGCGACTCGCCTTCCAGGATGGGGACTGCGTGATCCCTACTGCGCTGCAAGATATGGCTGCCGACAAATGTCAGTTGCGATCTTGTTGTCAGTTTCTATCCAGATTGCCTGAATGAGTTTTGGAGGTTTGGGCACATTGGAATGATTGTAGTAAGCTAGCACCAAGTCCCTTCCCCGTCCATCTTTATTCTTTTCTTCAGCATAAGGCCTTCGAATGAATCATGGTTACACGGCAGCGAAGCATCAGGGTTGAACACTGATGTCATCCTGCCCATGATGATCATTGTACTTGAAAACCATACTGTAAATACGTGACGATGAGCCGTCAAAGGGTGTTCATCAACCTTACGGGCGTCATATCAAAGACAAAACGCATCAACGTTCTGAGCATCATTCCAAATAACACAAGAAGCGGCTGTTGTGTGGCACGCTTAGTTGGAATATATCATAAATGAGAGATTCAGTTAGGAAATTCAAGTTAGTTCTTCCGTAAACAGCGACTTAACTTGGGAGTGAGTGCTCACCGCCACATGAGTTTAATTTGGTGACTAACTGACAAATCAAAATTGATAGGAATCAGGAAAATAGACTTACCGGATGAGCCCCGAAATGAGGAAACCAGTAATAGGCTATGCGGAATTTTCATCGGTCTTATGAGTGGTGTCATATGAAGGAGAATCACGTGATCAACACTACAGATCATTTGATCCGTTTACGAATCGAGCCGACAATACCGAATGACTTGTGAACTAAACGCCAGTAACTGAAGAGTTACAAGAAGCATGAAACGAAGATTCCTCTGAAAAGAACTGTTCACTAGGAAATGCAGTGGGATGAAGTCAAAACATTCTTGGAGTACTCATACGCACTTGTGTAAAAGGCAATCTTGAACTTGAACAGTCAACTTTGTGGCCACATCTGACGCGGGCTTACGGAAACCTTGCCTCCAGAAAAGTGCACCAAGCGGTGGTCACAGAATTAGCATAAGACACAATATTCATGCATTTTACTCTTCGTTACCACATAAAATCACACTTGCACTTGAGAAGGTGGTAGGGAGGCCGAAACAGCGGCATTGTCAGTTAAATACTTTCAGTCGCTGCAACATATTACCACACCAAAGTTATCATTTGGCACTCAAATGCTCTGAATGGTAGAACTGTTAGGAAGCACCGAATAGATCATTTTGTCTCATGGACAAGTTAGTACAGGGAGTTTGGTACACGTTCAAAGCGTAATTAGCCCAAAGGCAGTCTGCAAAGGGATTTTGCAGATCGTCCGAAAAACTCTTCGAGAACAACATGACTGCATCTAATGAAGAATGAAATTAGTTTATACGTTACCTTGTTTTTCGTTTCATGACTAGCATATCTAATCGCACCAGAAATTGTGGAGGGTAGCCTAGTTTAGGTGATACCAACAGTCATACACGTAATCGGTTCACTTAAAAAACCATGGAACCTTTGCACGGCTCAGTAGCTGAAGCCATTTTCAATGAAAATAATCAAGAAGTCACAGTTATTGATTCGAAAGGCATGAAAGGACATTACGTACTATCGGAACCATCTACAAGGTCATGATGAGTCTGCATATCAACAAGAAAGGACATCCGGAAGCCAATCAATAAAAAGAAACTTATGAAAATGGGTGTAAGAATGCGAGGGACTGTGAGAACCAGAAAACATGTGGACAAGAAATATTGTTTACTTCTGAAAAATGATGAAAAATAGAACGATGACTTGCCAAGTGTGGTAAATACAGAAGGAGTGTTCATCAATCAATACAAAAACGAAATTGTTCACCTTTAGTACACCATCTGTGCAAATTTGCCAAGAAAATAGAAGCAACAGCGAGGACTGAGATCACCATCATCATTATCGACAGCATGACATCAGTATTCAACACTGATGCTTCACTGCCGTACAACCATGATTTATTTGAAAGCCTTATTGTAAGGAAAAGAGTAAAGGTGGACAGGGAAGGGACTTAGTGTCAGCTTACCACAATCATTCCGAGGTGCCCATACCTCCATACATTCACGCAGGCGATCTGGATAGAAGCTGACAACAAGAACTACACTGACATCGATTGGCACCCATATACTGTAGTGTCTTTAACCAGGCACAGTGAGGATCACGCTGGCCCCATCCTGGAAGGCGAGTAGCACCGACAGCACCCAAGCGTTTCGTGATCTCCTTCATACTCCTCTACCAGGTCAAGTGTTGGCCACCTCCCTGTTTACACCACTCCAAATTGTGCATGGAGAACAGCACTCTCTTCGGCAAACGCAACACATGTCCCAACCAACGCAGCTTCTGGTGCTGGACACATTCTCCAATGGAAGTACCCATTGCACAACCGAAAACGCGCTTTCTAACTGCTCATTACGGATACGCCGACACCAACACACACGAGCTATGGTTTTGAGACAACGATTGTCGAACACCTGAAGACGTCTCAGTTCCGCTGCTCGAATATGCCAAGTCTCACAGCCACACAACAAAACCGCCAGTACTATAGCCTGGTACACACGTCCATTGAGATTCAGGGACTGAGATACTACTAGTTTGTCCAAGCCAGGACAGGGACCTTCCAATCAATAACTTCAACCGATGTTTGACACTGGGCTTGTTGCAGTTCCAGCTTTGGAACTGCATGCAACTGGATGCTATATTGTCTAGACGGGCTGGCAGAACGAGTCTTAATCAATCGCACGAGTCGAACTAGTCCAGAGAGTCGCAGAAGTTATTCGGCTGATCATTAGTCGGAAAAATTCGAAATTCAAACATACTGGTGACGAAACTGTTTCTTCATGACAGACTGACCGACCGGCCAACCCGTTCGGGCGAAATGTCTTGGAGAAATCCGCCCAAAACCGAGCAAACAACATTCGAGGATGGCCTAATACACTGTGTGGGAACAACCTAAAGTCGTACGCTCTTATCTTAAGCGAATCGGTGTAGGGGGTAATCAAATCGTAGGTTAGCCATCAAAGACTTATTATATAAATGACGTGCACGTAGTTCCTACTATTTATTGATAATGGAAGGAGGGAACAGCTTAATGAAGCGAAATTCCTGATGTTGAAATACCTTCAATTACGCAAAAATGAGTCGTGTCCATCAGTCCGTCCTTTCTTCCACGTGTATCGTCTTCGAATCTCCATACACAAAGAGTTTCGGGCTCAACCTCCGGTGCTGTTCTGTACTGCATACGGGGCATTCAGTTGACAACACACTTGGCTTAGCAAAAACCGCGTTCGGCATTTTCTATTGAGTGAAAGGGTTTATTGGAGTATACAACCAAACCAGGTGTCTCTAGTGAGTCACTCTTTTCTCTCAAAACCATCTGGTGTACCCAGTTTCCCGTCAAATGCGGGCTAATTCTCGGAAGCAAGATTGAATCCAAGGGATCCAGTCAGCACTGGATTGGGTAATTTGCACACAGGATTACCAACCACCCTCAGTGGTAGTCGCCCCATCCACTTCTACTCGGTTCCTCATCTGAGAATGGACAGCTGTAAGCACGTTAAAAGGACAGTCCCGGATCAAGCAAGCTCGCACTGACTGGTTCTCAATACGGACCTTGCTCGCAAAAAAAAGCAATCGAAAACCAGAAATCGTCTATTTGTGGCACCCTTTAGGAGGATTGCCACCATCCAACGTGAACGAACTACAAGGGACAAGGCATTCCGCGTTACCGAAACGTAGACATAGGCAGCAAGTCAGATTTGGGCTTTACTAGGCACCTCCCGATCAGTAAGTCGCGCTCTAATCACACATGCTTCTCCAGTCAACCACAGAGAAGCAAACCGACACCGGTTTAAAAAAGGAAGCGAACATAGGGTTTAGAAAAAGAACCCCATATAGTTGGACGCTAGTGAAAACTGGGTTTTAGCGATGGGGCTGCCGTCCATGATGGTATCTCGGCACGAGTTGACCCAGTACACATTCTTGTTAGTAAGCGTAAGTAGGTACTGAAAGATGAGGTGATATTTCACCTAAGGTGACAGCGATTGTTGAAAACTACCACGATAGTGAGGACAGGACCTGTCTAAGTTAGTTTACTGAACAAGACGATTAGTTGGAGTAACGCTTTGCACCATACGGCGCGCACCGTGTCGGCATCTGTGAGATCCGAACCAAGAATATCTACGTCTCAACTCAACTTTTGTAAATAAAACTTGACTTACACAACGTAGGTCTCCCCACAGGCAAAATGGAGCAGCCATCGAGAGGGCATTAGACGACTCTATTTTTGAAAGTACTTAGATAAAACTTCTCTATCCGCTTTTTCAACTACTAAGCATCCCATCTTCATAGCATCTTTCCAACTCTTCCCCTCTCGGAGAGGGAAATATCGTGCACACTGAGTAGTAATCCGTTGAGCAGTGCGCCGAGTACTCGCTAGAAAAACGGCTCACTTTCATCGAACGACAGAACGATCCGTCGGAACTGAACAAAACGCGTTTTTAATTTGTGTGGTATGGTTCACAAATGGGGACTAGACCGTGCCAGACGGTCTATCAACAAACGGCGGCGCTCATTTTAAAGTAAGGAAACAGCTGTTTGTAATAATTGTATTAACTTAGAATGAACTTAACGGCGGGAAGATCTGCTTACGCACGGCGGACTGTGGCTCTGTTCACACATTGACTACTGGACCACTATGTTCAAAAGCTTAAAAGGATGCTGACCAGCCTCACACCGCCCAAAGAAAGATTCCTCATCACCATGACCGATTTCCCATTGGCCTGTGAGATTTGACACAAAGTTGTTATCTTCCAAGATGTGGTCCGACTCAGTCGGTCTAAGTGAAACCGGACCTAAAATCCCCATCAAAGGCTGAAATCCCGACAGCGAAGACGTATTTGGGTAAGGTAATTATGATCCAGAGAAGCCGGAGGCTGCCAAAACATTATTTTCATGTACGCATAAGGGGTGAAGTAATGTCCATTCCTCAAGTTAATCAATGCAGTATTTTCCCCTGGAGGTGTTTGTTAACACATATACACAGATCCCATCATGCGTGCAGTGGAAAGTTTGTCGCAATTTACCCTTCAGGATAGACTGCTTGCGTGAATCCCGCGACGGATGCTACTACGGTAGGATCAGCTGGAAGTTTACATGGCTTGGACGTCCATATGGTGATTTTGTCCTGACGACTATGCTCTACTGACACAGACCGAATGGGGCCTGGAAAATCCAGCAACACCTCGTTTTGTGAAGAAACTGTTTTCTGCAAACCTGTGTCTGCACAACATCCAAATCTGTCAAACGTAGACGTAGGTGTTGAAATTGCAGCGCGTCGCCCAATTTCCTGCTATCTTGGCAGCATTCGGGACGTATACCGAACGACCGAATGTCGATGCTTGCGACTGTCGAGACCCTCAGCTGCCAGAGACTAACTAGTTTCAATGATGGCTCATTCTGTTTTCTAGACGGACATCTACTAACAGCACCTCATGGTTCAACGAAATGTTCGGTTTACCGGAAACCAACTTGAACGGGACAAACCACACTAGCCTTAACATTTTATCCAACTAGAACACAAATGGAATCTACCTGGATGTCCTACTGACAAGGTAAGAAAAGTCTGTTTGGAAAACGAACTAGAAGCAGAACCACAGTCACTGGTAGCTTCAGATAAAAGCGGATGGACACTGTAAATGAAGACACCGAACTGGCCTTCAACTCATAGGGGAACTAGCCACAGACCATTTGATGAGGCCACTTACAGGCGTGTAAACCTTTCAAGCCAATACACACAAAAGGTGGCTGAGGATTACGCCACTGATGCCTCTACATCTAAAAAACAAACCTCCGGTTCACGCACAAAGCACGGTAGTCTACTCCTTCGTAAGTTCGAAATAGGTTAGGGAACCAGCTTACGAACCGGAAGGTCCGTGGTTCAAACCCAACCTTAGAATCTCCAACAGTCCTATCCAGGCTTTGGCAACCTGGCACTATCTCAGCCCCCGTGCTTTCTTCGGGTAATACGGGTGTTAGGGCTGAATGGTCATTATTTTTGTTCCACTCACGGATGAGATACTGCCACGGCGCCCACACCTAGACAGGAGGACGATTAGGGTCCTCGACCAAAGCTTTCGGCTCAAAAGCCTGACTGCATAGCAGCGGTGTTTGGCCGGAAATGCAATTACACTTGCCATATTTGCGAAACGCACATGTTCTAACCCCCAATCTGGAAGACCAGGAGACTGTGTTCGTCAGACCTCAAACCAGTGACCAACCTGGTATGAGATAGTGCGAGTATTGCGCGGACATCCCCAGTATAGCTCAATGGGTCACCGAGGTACACAAACCATCAGACCATGGTAAGGTTCAGTCTCCTCGTGGCTATTATTACTTTACCCGACTTTGTGCGGGCAGAATGCACAGGCCGCACGACACGACAGTTATCCAAGTGGTTAAAGGAGCATAGCCAATTTTGGCTGACAAACAAGGAGGTCAATCGTTAGCAAGGTGATCTCTCATTTGGGTTAATGTCATGGGGCACTTCTAGCCCCCATTCCAATTAGCCATTTAAGACAAGAGCTTGTGTCGGGGTGGGTTGGATTGGAAAAAAACCCAAGCGTATGCGCGTAGGATGAGAGTATCGTATGGAGAATGAGATATAATAACATTGCACATCCGAAACATCGTCCAACGTGGATGTTTAGCCACACAACAGAGAATACTGCTTCCACCAAGTCGTACCTGCATTCACGTTGCACTCGAAATGATGGGAACCGAAGGTAAGATCACAAGTGGACGCCCTCGCGACAGGAGAGAAACAGTCTTGTTGACGCACAGCTCCGTAACAAACGCACTCACGACAAACGTTCGTCAAAAATAAATAGTAACACGTGAAAAGATGCGGTGTATTTTCGACTCAGTGAGAATATGAAGAGAAGTGCTGCCCAAGAAGACACTAGAGTAGTAGTTCACGTAGTGTAGCACTGCACGACCGAACCGATAAAATATGCTCACAATCAGTGAGTGTAGAAGGGTGGGATAGGAAGAAAATAGCAGGGATGGGAAAAGCAGAGTGATAAAAGTGAACTGGGGGTTCATCACAGATGACGGGCATTCTATGTGCAGTGATTGATAGCTTGAGAGACTAGGAGGGAACGATGATCAAGGATCATATACATTGCGGTCAAAGCGGTTCGGGAGCAACGGTGGACACGTAGCTGCGGACCGGAGAGAACCGACATTCTGGGAACTGGTCTGAGAAGACGTTCAACGTTATCAGTTGATCTGTTTGCGTGGTACTGTGAATGAGAGAGAGAGAGACCAGGGGGATGAGTTTGGATTTACCAGTGAGTACGTTCCATTACCTGCCACTTCAACAGCCGTTTAACGGTTGGGAAAATCGAGTTGATACGTAGGATGAGAACCATAACCAGAAGATTTTTTCCGAAAAAATTTAATTGTACTGTATCTGCCCCCCTTAAATTTGCTCAATTTCGCTTGAGCTTATGGCGTCACCCATCCAGAAAGCGTTCTTTCCGATAATACGATATCATTTTTTTAACCTGGGAAAGCTTGCCAGTGAATTGCATTCGGTCACCTGACATCTTCCTAGAGAGTGCCAAGTGAATGCCGTCCGTTGAGTTTAGTCATGACTTTAAACGAACTTGAAGACACCTTTGTGAATGGTTGCAGCCGTTCGGTGCAGCTGGAACTTTTCGAACAACCTAGGCTGAAGCGATTGATAGCTAAGAAGAGGAAAAAGTTCTGAAAGGACCAAGGTGTTGCGAACTTCCTATGAACAAAAAAAGCCTAGTAAGGCAATGTAGGGTGAAGCGCAAAGCATAAAAGACGTTCGGCTGTAGGAGTACCCAACTGAATCACAAGACTTCCGTTAGGGAGTGCTTGCCGGGATTTCTACCAACCAAACTGGATGGTGTTCCCGAACCCGTTTGTTCCAACTTTCTAGTACTCCGGCTAACGATAACTAAAGGATGTTCCGTGTACGAACCGCCAATATGGTCACAGCAGCAAATGGTGTCTGGTACGGAGGAAACATTAAAACAGAGGGGTTGGAACATCCAGGTCCCGAATAATACTTGAAAAGCGGTGGTAAGAATCGATATATCTTCATATAACTCTCTCTCACAAAAGTGCGTTTCCGGTTGAACAACGTCAGCGTTCAACACCACGGTAAGTATGCGCCTGAAAGACAAGTCCTTTGCATGAGAATAGTCCGTACTTGGGCTGCTTTTCGATGAAATGTACCAATCTGAACAGCCGGGCAAAACAGGTTCGGATCTTCCATTAACCATGTTTGGGATGAGACCTTACATACAAACTCCCAAGTAATGTCCGCCATTTTTCCAACAAACTCCTAGATCCTTCCATACAGGGTGCTCTCACAGGTCCTCTTCCTCTTTTGCTTAAGTATCTTCTAACAATCAGGTCATTCCTCGGCCGAAAGTACGCGGATGGCGTTGTCATTCTTTGTCCGATCTCCAGTGCTGTGTAGTCAACACGTTCGCAACACAGTTGACCAAAGTAAAATACACCAGCGAATATACACTCATTTGCAAACTAATTTGGTTTTGCGGGAGACTCACCTGGAATCTCTCCTATGTGATGTTTCCAGGCAACTGAATGTGTTGCACCAGGCCGCCTCATGTTTCAGTTGCTACGATATTAGCAATATCGCGATGCACATATATTTTTGTAATGGACTACTCATAAGGTTGCTGAGTTGTCGAGGTGTTTTCAGCAACCTTGAGTAGTGCATTACTAAAATAAACTAGCCTTAAAAGTGGGGTCATATCAAAAAAGAAACTTCGATGCATTGAAATTCCTCAGTGCAACAGATCAGGCTGAAAAATATCATCAAATAGGGGTCCACCGTTAACACCACCCTAATTTGTAGATAGGTGCTTATTTTCACTTACGAAATAATATTGATGGATTGAACCTAGATGATGAGCGAAAAATGGGCGGAAGTGATAACAAGCGGTGAACGAGCGAGGACCCAGTGGTTAGAGCGCGAATTTACTGACCGGAAGGTCCGTGGTTCGAACCCGACCTCTGCCTCTCGACTGCCCCTGTCTAGGGGCAGGCAACCCAGCCTCGTGCCTCCTTCACGTGGCATGACAGCTAGGCACCGAAAGGGTGTTTCAGCTGAACGATTTGATTGATTGATTGATTGATCTAACCAAGTAGAAGTTGTAACTCAATACGCTCTTGGATTTATCCAATGGGCGACCACGGTGCATAACTGAACTTCCATCACACTGAGTAGCTGTACAAAGTACCAACTAATACAGCACATGACACAATGGAATTACGATAAGATGTGACATCAAAACGAGTTTTACGATGCCTTCATTAGGCCCTTAGATCAGTGGCATTGTTGCTGTCGACTCTGAGGCCGACGTATAATCAAGTTGGACATCTGACGCAGGAAGAAATAAAATTATGCTGTTCTGAATAAGCGTTGGCGATAGAATTGGTGGGTTCCTGTTTTATCTACTGATTGGTCAATCTGGTATCTGCTGCTGACCCGCTCCATTAACTAGTGCCGGAGAAAAAACTCACAGAAGGGAACACGACAGCCATATTCCGAACAAGCGAGTGCGAGAGCGTGAGTGCGTGCGAGCACGAACGTACAGCGGTCTCAAGCTATTTATTGGTCCAATGCTGACGCACACGGTCTGGCTTCGGTACGAGGCTGTGAAGTGCTGAATACTGCGGGGGCGTTGTCTGACCTTGATCAACGCTGACTCGCGCTGTCTGGGTCTGATACAAGGCTGTGACCCACTGCATGTTGAGGGGGTGTTGTCTGTCTGGTCAACATCTAGCGCAGCCGAGTTTCGGGCATTCAGTGGCTGCTTTCAGGAAGCTGACCTTTCTGATAGTTCCAAACAGGAGTGTGTGTTGAACGAGGATCTGTTCACTAGTGTCTACCAGAGCCGGAAGACGAAAAGATCTAGGAACCTACAGTGGGGTATAAAGTGACTATGAGTAGATCCAGCTTCAAAGGGTCATGGTGTATCCATTCAGTTTTATTTGATACCATGTTGTAAACTGCGTAATTATCCACCAAATGTCGAGGAAAGGCAGGGAGAGTTGCAGATTCACTAGAGTTAGCACTAAAGATGACGTTCGGTGGGCTGAAAACACCGTATATCCCACAGTGCCCAATCCACACCGAATGTTAACCAAGTTCATTGTTTTCTCGGGACCCACTCTAAAACGGGAATACCTTGTGAGATGCAGAAGAGGAGATGGTTGGAATCCTAAGAGATGAGACAGCGAAAAAAACTGTAGTAATCTGGTGACTCGGGGACCAGGTATAACCACTCGTATTTGCGAAACATTTTTTCTTTTTCACTAGTGTTTTTGTTCCCTTGGGAAAACAAGCTACCTCTGGGAGTGAACGAGAATTTTCGATGAACTATGGCGTGCATAAATTCCGCAATAGAGGTCAGGTTTTATTCTAGACGGCATACTAATTTGAAGGCCTAGTCCAAATTGGGCAGTCCACTGAAATCTCCCGGAGGAAGGACAACCATTCGCCCGAAGGTTCACCAATGGCTGCAACGATACAGCCACCGATGTGAAGTAGTCTACAGAGTACACCTTCAGAATGGTTTAGCATTATAATCAATGAACTACTCTGTGAAGGAAGAGCCTGACACGATAGTCCAATTATAACGCGTTACATTCGTCCTTATCAGGAGACCTAAACGATGACAAAGAGGTGAGCAAGACGGCCGCAGTAAGGGCTAGGCGAATGGTAGAACTTTTGGGGGCATTTTCAGGTGTACGACTTATACAGATCAGCATCTCGAAAAACAACACCGAACTATACCGCCGCCTTCAGAAGGACTTTTATAAAACCAGGCCAACGAATATCCGGGCCCGAGCCTCCAAAAACCGGTAGGGCCACAGTACTGAATTGTGACCGGAAAAAAGAGGGAACGACATATGCACATTATACATGTTCGAGGCATGTACGATAATCACGTGACAAAATACCAACGTCCAATAGGCGATCAATCGAACAAGTTTGCCCACAACTCACGTGTTCAATTGACGGATTGTGTACGAGTCCCAGTGTAAAACATTATGCAACCGTTTTTTCGAACTGGAAAGCTTGAAGCGCTGTGTGTAGCAGAAAACAGGTGATATCGAGGGAATCAGTAAATAAACAGAAAAATCGGAGCGGGTTGTGATAAAAGAACCCAGAAGAATGAGTTCCGCGTATAGAGTTCTTTTTACAAGAGTACCCTCGGAGAATGCTATCATGAAGGCTGATGTCCAAGAAGGGTGCCCAGGAGGAAAAAGAATGCCATAATCATCGAGATGGAATAGATTTTTATTATGGCTAAGCAGTACCAAAACTATGCACTGTCCAAGTTGGAGTAATAGTGGTAGGTATGGTATGGACGCTAATTAGTACTGTCCAGAGAGCACTTCATAAAGAAACTCCCAAAGTAGAACTCAGAGAAAGAGAGATGATTCAGTCTATGAAACACATAGGGCAATGCTTTTACATTGATAATGATGGTAGACATTTCCCAGGGATATGAGTTCAGCAACTCATAAACGCTTCCCACATCATGCCACGTGATGCAGCAACATGTGCGTGCTGAAAAACATCTGCAAAAGTGTGACTAAAGCAGAGCATTTCTAGAAAAGAGATTTTGGCTTGTCCCAAAGTAGAAGCGCCCTATACGGTGCTGACACACTGGTATTATGAGAGGCAGAGCATCGTAGCAAGTTGGGATGAAATCGTTTGTGGTCAAATGTCCAGTTATGTGGGAATTCAGTTCCCTGAGGAGCAAAAACACAACAATAATTCGATATGAAAACACTTCATGGGAGGCCAAGTCCTAAAGAGTCAATGAGAGCTGCACGAGAACACCGGACGATGAATCCGGAACCTCTTACGACCTCTGAGGCCCATGACTGCACAAGTTCTTTCAGGCGCCACTGGGTTCCTTGTCCGGACGACCTCCAACCCACACTGTTTAAAGATGGGTGCAGAAATAAAGTCACGCGTATTAACGTCCCACTTTTAGTGTTCCTGAATCTTCGAGGTGTGATTCACTCGACTGACAGGTTCATTCTCCGTAACATGCTTCCCAGCAAGGAATGCCTCGGGGCATTGCACGAGTCTGGTGGGAACACAGGGCCAGCAATGCTGAAGTACGTGGAATGGTATTCGGAAGAAATAACTCACTCTCGATGGATGGACTGATCACACTGCATCGGTTGCGCCACGTGCTGCGTATGCCAGTGGACCGAATTCCTCGAAGGGTCCGCTTCGCACAACCACATGGAAGGTGGAAACGAGCCAGAGGCGGTCAAACAATGACTTGGCAGCGCAGTATAAAAGCCATTACCATCGAACTCAGTAGCGCTAGTCATTGCTGTCTTCCTGGATGGGGACTCCGAGACGGGCCACATCAATAATTAGAGGCATTGTCAGACATGGCCAAGTCGTGTCCTCAATGGTGCTCGTGCATCCAAGCTACTGCCTTCAACGTATAGCTCCGTTCCCAAATCTCCCACTTAATAGTCCACCGACAGTGCTGTATTTATGCACTAATCTATCAGCCCCCGCCTCCAATGCGGAGCTACCCATCCCACCTCCCCAAATCATCGGTGAACGAAACTCTGACAGCTACAACCACTGAACGACAAGTACACGGTTCTTACAGCTGACAATGATGATGATGATGATTCTCAGACTCCCGGGTGTGTGAGGGTTTACGGTAAGCTCTCCAAAAGCTTCTGTAAACAAAGCGGTGTTCGTCAGAGATACCCACTCTCTCCATTCCTATTTGATTTCATCGGAGAGATAATGAGACGAACGCTAGTATGTCTTCGAAACCCCGGTATTCAAATAGCTGCTGACGAAAACCTTGTCGATCTGGAATATACAAACGATATCGTTGTTGTCCTGGAGGAGAAGACGCAGCTATTTTTGGATGAGCTGACCAAAGCCTTTGGTATGCATGCTCCTGAAAATGCAGACACCGAACACGCTGATTAAAATGCAAGGATGGGCACTCGAAGTTGTGGAGCGTTTCACATACCTTGAAAGCTGTATTAGTTCTGACTGCAGTGCAGAGATGTCCGGAAGGTCAGATTCCTGAAAATAATCCCGGAATGCCCGAAACAGACTGAAACCCTCAAACTCCAACAAAAGCTTAATCGAGAAGTCCACAAGCATCCTGACCAGTCAATCAATCAATCAATCAATCAATCAATCAATCAACAATCAATCAATTCAGCAGCATAATATTGTGAATACCCTGGAACTCCTTTGGGAGATAATCAGTCCAGGGTTGACTACATCGAAAGCACTTTTGATATGCAGAAAGACCAACAAAACTATCCTGCGGGATATGTGGCGTAAGTCTCACGTCCTACACTCAATCGGCCTGTTCATTGAACTTTCAAAACGTGCATCGAAATAAAGTGTGTCCAGTTGTTACAGCTTCGTTCGCTGAAGATAATGAAAACAATCGAATCGGAGCCACAGGCTAAAGTGGCTCAACCGGTTCGTTGAACTCGAAATTCTCTGCTTGTCAGATACGGCATGGATAGAGTGGCACGCAGTGAAGGCGATAGCTTAGACGCAAGAGTGCCATTAACTACGTGACACTGCCATATGTGTCAGGGTCACCAACCATTGGTTTGTCTCGTCACGTGGTCTCCATTCGGGAAACGGCATTTACCGATGCAGACAGGGTTAACTAGTAAGGGCTTTCATGGTTCGTTGTTAACCAACCATGGGTCATTTCCACGCGAAATACGGCTGGGCGAAGAGGGCTCGGAGTTCATCGCCGAAACAGAGAAACCTATGGAGTGTGATCAGCTGATCTATCGAGAGAGTGAACTTTCCCAAAAGCCATATGGTGCACTTCAGCATCACTGATCTGGTGTTTCCGCCAGACTAACGTAATGCATCGGAGACCTCTACGAGCAGATGCAGAGAGTTCTCTTAGGTCTTCCACAGGCAGCGGCCACGTCTCTGATCCATAAAGTAGGACAGATCAGACCGTGGCATTGTACACACTACCTCAACAGATGTATTCCCAACAGTCCACCCGTCTACCAATCTAGGTGATTATTCCGTCAGCTGACAATACACGATTGGTACTAGAGGCTATTTGTACAAGCTAACTTGTTTTCAACTAGAACTGCCTTTTGTTCAATCCAGGCTGGTATCTGTCAGAGTGTAAGCTGGCCGGAGAGTGCGCTTGAGGGCCTGAAGCCATGTTCAAGTTTCGTTACACAAAATGTCGAATTCACGGGCGTCCAAAAGCTAAGGCCGATTCAGCAAGTGGACTGAGCTAGTACTGAGATCACCATCAATACTTGGCGTACCCAGCATAATGGCTAATCCGGTTTGCTGACGTGGTTCAATTGCTTTGAAGCAAACAGTCTTCCTGAATGCACTGCAATCCTTTAAATCAGGCTCTCCCCGACGAAGTAGAACATTTTGCCACGGTTGCCGGAAAGAAACATTATATTGTGGGTGGGAACGGCATAACGGGAGTGCGGGGAGCAGTGAATACAATTTTTGTACAGGATAACTGTCGATTTGGTTCAGAAAGCATCGCGACCGATTGCACCCTGGCTAAATTTCCGTCGGAGTACTCGAATAGTGAAGCGTGACATCCAACACGGCGTTGNAGATACTTTTCGACTGTATAAGTTGAGGAAGAGCGTTGATTCAGTGGTCCCCACCAAGAGTCTTTGATTGATCTTACTCACAGAGCAGAATCCTGCAAAAACAAACGGTCAAGGAGACTATCTATCCACGAGGCCCAGAGTCCGAAAGCAACCGCAATTTCGCCAAAGAGTCACGAATCAAGGAGGCCCGTTACACCATTTGTTAACCAGCGCTCCCCCCATTAGTAAAACAAACGGTCTATCAAAAAGGTTGAAGCGACGCGTATCCATTTTCGTCCTTTACTTTGGTGACGGACCAAAAGGCAGTGAGTAGGATTTTCAAAGTAACAGTAACGTGGGCAGAAGGTCTTTTAAGAGTATTTTGGGATGCTTGGAGTAGTGGGCTAACCAATACCCGTGTCACGGTGGATACTACTGATGAGGCATGCGAGTAGTGTGTTTTCTCGTGAGTCCGCTTCGCGTCTCTTGAAAAGTGAGATCTGTTACGGAATTCGTGGAGTCACTTTGTAGCATTTGCTTGCATTTGAGTAATAGGCAATGAATATCCAGGGAAGTTCAGCAATACGCGTTCAAAAAGAAGATGGATATTCGGTTTTGTACACAAGATGCATATGAGAGTTTTGCCCCTCCTGTCCAATAGTCTGTAACTGTTCAGTTGGTGTTTCTCTAATAAATAACTCCGCAGCGAAGGACCTCCTCCTTTCACCCGTAGTAACCACCCCAATCATATTTGCGCATCTAGGAGACACAATATTAACTAAGACTAGACACCTGAGAGCAGTACTCACAATGTTGTACGTGACCTGTTGTTCGGAACTGAACAGTTGAGCTTGTCTTCGTCGACGAAAAGGATGTAGTTTCTCTTTGAAGAGTGAGTGTACAGACAATCTGTTTAGGAAATAAGCAACCGGAAAACAAGCGTGAAAGTCGGCACAGTGTGAAATGAACAGTTCAAGAGAAAGTGTCAGAAGTGATGTCACCTAGCCAGAAAAAGAATTGTCATCAGTAGTTGGTCATCAGAATTTATTTGAAAGCGGCGTTGTGAGAAAAAACAAAAAGGGAAATGGAATGAGCTTATTGCCAGTCTACTACAAGTATTCCAACGTGCTTACACATCCAGATATTTAACCACATAAAAACAGGAATGCTAGTGACATCAATTAGCAGTTATAACCTGGAGAATTTCTGGTTACCAGCCCCCATCCTGCAAGGTAGGTCTCTGTTGGGACTTGTGGACGATCGTGCAACTCTGTATCGGTCCCTTGGCTTCCTGCTCCGCTCTACACAGCCCCTTATGGAGACAAGAGGAATCATTACACCTGTATCTATAGCGTAATGACAGAGTGTTCCACAAGGTCGTGCTAGAATCACCGTGAGGGGGCGGGAAGCGTCAAGTCAAAGATGCTCGATCCGCATTGGCTGGCATTCTGACCAATCAGAGGATGTCTTCGTTTGGTCCGTGTCCTGAACGTGACACTTCCGTACAAATGACGTGATGTTCGGTTATTGGGGACGGCTGGGCTCCGAACAATCTCACCAACGATACCCAGACTTTTCGCAGTCGCCTTCAAATCGTTCTGTGGGGAACAAAGGCTTGTGCTTGTAATACTCCAGATTAGAAACAAAAAGCGGCACTTTTCCGGCAGACAATGACTAAGCATATACACAAACTCAAGCCAACTCAACTAGACATAGGCTTCAGTTGAAATCTCTAAGGCACAGCTGAAAATTCGTTTCCCAAGTGTAGTGTTGCGGATTCGTCGAAATCAGGGCTATCGTTCTGAGAAAATGGTTAAGGGGGACTTGAAGATGCAGCGTTTACACCGGTTGCAGAGGCACTCTCACAAACTGATGGCATAACAGTCTGCATTGCAATTTCATTAGGAGTTATGTCGCTTTGTTGCCAAAAGTGGCGAACACGATTTCTATCATGGAGATTCGTGCACTAATCTCACTCATCACTTACAAACTACGTAAAAATTTCCACGAACTTAAGCACTCTTCCTTGGGTTGCAGGTGGCAAGTTCAAGGAATACATTTCCAGCAGAACGACGCTGAATACTGTGGGTGCAAAACGCATGTCGAACGAAGGGACGGTCTTTACCAGTCCATCCAGAAAGATTTAAGATTTCTCTTCTTCGAAGACGAGAACGACGCCGTCTAGGTCAACAAGGCTTCTGTCAACAACTATTTGACCAACGGGGTTTTGAAGACCTTCCAGCGTTCATTTCAATACCAAACGACTGGATATGAATAAAGGGATAGGGCATACCGTTTCTTGTATGGAAGAGCTTACGGTGCACCCACATGTCCAAATGTCTGACAACACAGGACTAAATACATGGGCAAACTTCCAGCATATCTGCTGCTCTCCAAGCCTGTTAAGAAGAACCATCTGCTCAAAAGAGTCAAATACATCCGCATGTCACTGTGTTAAAGCGGAGAAGTGATCAAGGTAACTATCCAAAACCAAAACCAGCTTGTTGGTGTCCGGTCCATGCTTCAAGGGCCATCTCACAAGACAACGGCCAGGTGACCTTAAAATCTCACAACCATGTGAATTCAATTGGTCTCCTGTAACTGTCGAATTCTCTGCGGCCAAATTTTTGAAGTTGGGCAATGGTGTCAATTCAACCCAATTGTTTGGGCCAGTCTCTTTCTCCCAGACAGTTGGAGATGAATCAGACCAACGATGCCTAGAGACTTTATCCCAAGCTTTGGACAAGTCGTCCAGACCAGCAGCTAGGAGGCGCTTGCGAGAAAATACGCAGTCACAAACTTCCGACACCGGGAGGAGTTTTAGTTTTCTAACGAAGTTCGAAAATCTCACCGACCGACAGCGAAGAAACAGTCTTCATTAATGATAACCGGGCCAGTGTGATCCTTGATCTCGCTCAGAGACGGTTTTCGGAGACCTGCCGCACAGATTCCATGCAGTGATGAACTTTCCGGCACTTCTCTAGTATTCCTCACTTCTCTAATTTCATCAAACTTTTGTACTCACCCGGCTTTACAGTCGGCATGTATATTAGTTTAACTTGGGGCCCGATTGAAGTGTGTTAGGGACTGGAGTTCAACGACTTTACTCGCATCTTGAATTTTATCCAAGTGCACAACACACAACGTTGGGCGAGTCAAGCGTACAAACGAAATCATCCTGCTGTCCTGCTTGCTTCTGAGTGTAAATTTTGAAGATCACCAGAAAAACTGGAGTTTGAGGCCTGCAGCGAGATGCTTGAGGCAGTCCTGACTGGCTGGCCTACAACGAAGAGGCTAGAGGTGGGAAACGGTGATAGAGATATGTGGTATTGGAGGAAGAGAGGCACCAGCAAGAGCCGTTTATCCACCCTGCTGCATGAAGCAGGCAGGCTGATTCACAGTGGCGTATTGCCAGAATGTTCGGGTCTAGGCAGGAGGACGATTGATGTTCTCAATCAAAGTCTTCAGCTAGAAAGCAAGACAATTGTGTTTGGTAGAAACTCCAGAGCATTTCAACTTTTAGAGAGCGAGTTGTCACGCACACCCCAACCCCAAACTGGGGGGCCAGGAGACACCTCTAACGATTGGTGACCGGCATGAGGTTGCGGGTGCCGCATGAACACTGTCCAAGATACCTTGACAGGTGAAGAAGACGCACAAACCGTCACATTACGGTTTGTGACAGAGTGCTGAAAATGCGAAACGACGCGCATTACGGAGGGGATTACTCGTCAGCTTCGAACAGATAGCAGACTGAGAGAAATTCATATTTGGCAACTGTGCCCACTTAACCAGGTAGCATATTCATTAATTTGGAACTTATTACGGGAGACATTTACACAGAGATATGTAAGCACACCTCTATGGCAGAAGAAAGCCGTTCGTCTTTGAATATAGTATTAATAAACGAACTATAGCAAAACTCGAAGGTGAGACGTGAAACGATGACTCTAGAACAAGGATTTGCGTACTGAGAAGTGGGTGCATACCTGACAACTAAAGTACAACGCTGAAAGCAGTGTCGCCGACCATTAATGAGATCCAAGCTTGTCAAACACACAATGGTCGTTGGCTTGTTCGCTGAGCTGGCCCAGCTACCGACATTCTCCTCGATAGAAAACACACAACGGCCTTCTTACGGAACTGCTGGCTACTCAGTTGTCCCCTTATCAAGGCAACCTATTAATACAGGTGAGAGTCATTTCCAAGGTTTTGTCATTACATATCCAGTAGGAGATCATGTGAATCAGGGTCGAAGTTAAAGCCATAATATCACCTGGTTTCTATTCAAAATGGTAAGATAAGCTCTGTCGGTTACTTATAAACATTCAGTAAAGTACATTAATCTCTGAAGAGAAGCCACTCGACTGAATTCCAAAGTAGTGTTTCCCATCAACCATTACTTAGTATGCGATCCCATCCATAGGAAGGTCCAACTCTATACGAAGGGTCAAATACTTTGATTCTCCATCAGGATTTAATGGGAGTTGGGTGCCATAGATGGCTGCCCACTATGTGGTTCTACAAAACCGCTTTTGTGGACCAGAATCAGTGGACAGAATGTAAAAGAGAGGTAAAGGAAATGCCTCAGTAGGCGTAGTTAATTTCATTCTTCATTTCGGCGCTCCCAAAAACTGAAATGAAAAATGTCAGTGCTATGCATCACATCCCCGTCGCAAGTATTGTAGTTCACAGTAAGCCAGAAGAACACGTAAGAACGGACAAGGGTGTTTTGTGTGTACGCGGCCAACGGGTCCGCTTTCGTGGCGGGTAAGCATACGACTGAGTCACATATCCAGTCAACCCACAACGCGCACGCGAGCCAACCAGCCACTCAAGTCACATGCCAGATCGATGGTGGAACGACGAACGGACACGCACACGCGCAAACTCTGACACACCGGAAGCAGCCACTACAGTAATCAAATATGTTTATTCTTAAACTGAAGACATGTTGTACTGGTGAATATTATCTGCTGAACGATACACCTCAGTATCACCACCGATAACGATAGACCAGAAAAAATTGATGCCTAGTTGCCACAGGAGACTAGTTAAAGTTTTAAATGACGGTTACACCGTAAATGTGCAAAAAGAAAAAAAAATCTCATCAAGTGCTTTCTACCCAACATTCCTAAACTTTGTAAGCAACCTAGGGGAACACACTTTTGCAGTTGACGAGTATGGTGAACATAGATGGATCACGGACTTTGACAAAAGCAAACAGCATTACTCACAAGGTCCGGATCCACGAGGACATAGGTGCCTTGCAATAGTCCACCACCCGAAGCGCTCAGAGAGTCTTGAACTAGTCCCGAACTATCAGCCTCCGTACCGGTGGGCAAAGCGCTCGCATCACGCTGGGTTATGGCGAACGGTTTTCCCAATGCGGCAACAACAGCGTTCGGTGCGTGATAGGACGTGAGCATATTCACATGGCCATCTGGGTAAAAACGAATCCCTCGATAGTAGACAACTAGATGCATTGGACGATAAATGCCAGACAACGCTTCTCCAGGGCGGACGTATGTGATGCGACAGAGGTAGCATCCTAAAAGGTTAGACGAGGTACAGACATGAATCAGCATAGTCAAAGTGGAAGAGAGGCGCATGCTCGGAACGACATCAGCCAAAACGATCACAATGGTTTTGGCAGATAACCCATGCGCAGATTTCAGTATGACATCGGGTACAAATGATGAAATCCGAGCAACATACCATCCAACAAAACATGTGGTCTGTGAATAGCCATGTCACGCCAGTCTTTGTAGCCGTAGTGAAGTGGGACCGCAGCAGTCAATTGTTCACCCCTCACCCCGTGAGAATGGTGGTCGAGCAGACGGGGCCACAATCGAAGACAAATAGATCGCCAGATAGACGAATCACATGCCAGCAGGTAAAAACCACGACACACCTAATATGGGTAAGAAGACGGTTGTGGTAGTTGGATAATGGTGTCCGTTCGATCAAATGATTTCAACAATAATGCAAAATGAAATGCTGTCATGACTGATGCCGTAAAACCACACAAACAGCGGCGGACTGTTGGTAAGGGCGTACTACTCATAAGGTCACCGAAAACACCATCTTTCAAGTCGATTTCAAGAGGAACACGTACACACGAGCTTAGCGCTTAGGGTGTAACTAGGACACTCGCCTGTCTGTCAGCTGCGATGGCGATGGGGATACTCTCGAGAGGCAGAAAGTCGCTGACTAAAAGCTCAGCGTTTCAAAATTTGACAGTACTTACAAACCTGGCTTATGTAGTGGAAGCTGAATATCAGGAGAGTTACAATTGTAGGTGTAGACAAAGCGGATAATTTGCTACAGTTACGCTAAGACTAACCGGACACCTCAATTTGAGCACTCGGATCACTGAAACCGAAAGAAGCTTGTTACTGTGCGATGCGCCGAGGAGGAGTGAGGTGACAAAGACCAACGGGGTATATGTAAAAAAGCTCTCATCCACAAAAAACAGTCATAGTTAACGCAAAGACAGCAATATTTGCAAAACAAAGCCTATGGCAGAAGAACAAGACTTATGCGGCTGTGGAACAAGGCTTGAGGACCCTCATTAGAGAATACACGTAAAATTGCCTTGATAACAAAAATACGGTTTAGAAGTACACATCTGAAGGTGCCATCAAACAGGAAAGTACGGACGCGACCTGCTTAACTCCCATTAGAAATAGTCCTATATACGAAAAAACACAATGCGGACTTACACGAGCTAGCCTCCCCAAAATTCTTGTATCCAAATGACTGCCAACGGCCCACCGAAAGATTCGCAGCAGCAATTCGTGTGGCAAGGCGGAAATGTGGGTCTTCTACAATAGGATGGATACCACAGTAAAAAAGATTAAAAAAAAACACGAATGTGAACTCACCGCAGAAGACACACATTCCAAAGAGATCTGCTTACTTTGTATGGTTCGTCCTCTGGGTCCAAGGCCTCCGCCGGGAGATCATCAAAGCCATCGCCAGTGGCCCAATGATCGGGATTACGTATAGCTGCGAAAAGAAACACATGGGTGTCACGTGTTGGGGTTTCAGTCGAGTGGATTAGTCCAATAAATCAGCACTGATCAATGTAAACCTTAAAATTCTGCGTGACAAATATCGTTGACCGGCAAGTTACGGTGCAAGATTTTAAGATCGGCTTACCAAGGAGCAATCTATTTGTTAGTTATGTGTTGCAATCAATCACGGGAAATTTCGTTAAAGAGTGTATGAGTAGCATGAAGTTACCGAGCAAAGGTGCTTATTGTTTAATGGTATTCGAACGGAGTTCATTGGACGAATAATTAGAAAGAAGACAATCATTCAGCTGTAACATTATCATCATTATTATTATCATCATCATCATCGACAGCATGACATCAGTGTTCAACACCGATGCTTCACTGCCGTACAACCATGATTTATTTGAAAGCCTTATTGTAAGGAAAAGAGTAAAGGTGGACAGGGAAGGGACTTAGTGTTAGCTTACCACAATCATTCCGAGGTGCCCATACCTCCATACATTCACGCAGGCGATCTGGATAGAAGCTGACAACAAGAACTACACTGACATCGATTGGCACCCATATACTGTAGTGTCTTTAACCAGGCACAGTGAGGATCACGCTGGCCCCATCCTGGAAGGCGAGTAGCACCGACAGCACCCAAGCGTTTCGTGATCTCCTTCATACTCCTCTACCAGGTCAAGTGTTGGCCACCTCCCTGTTTACACCACTCCAAATTGTGCATGGAGAACAGCACTCTCTTCGGCAAACGCAACACATGTCCCAACCAACGCAGCTTCTGGTGCTGGACACATTCTCCAATGGAAGTACCCATTGCACAACCGAAAACGCGCTTTCTAACTGCTCATTACGGATACGCCGACACCAACACACACGAGCTATGGTTTTGAGACAACGATTGTCGAACACCTGAAGACGTCTCAGTTCCGCTGCTCGAATATGCCAAGTCTCACAGCCACACAACAAAACCGCCAGTACTATAGCCTGGTACACACGTCCATTGAGATTCAGGGACTGAGATACTACTAGTTTGTCCAAGCCAGGACAGGGACCTTCCAATCAATAACTTCAACCGATGTTTGACACTGGGCTTGTTGCAGTTCCAGCTTTGGAACTGCATGCAACTGGATGCTATATTGTCTAGACGGGCTGGCAGAACGAGTCTTAATCAATCGCACGAGTCGAACTAGTCCAGAGAGTCGCAGAAGTTATTCGGCTGATCATTAGTCGGAAAAATTCGAAATTCAAACATACTGGTGACGAAACTGTTTCTTTATGACAGACTGACCGACCCGTTCGGGCGAAATGTCTTGGAGAAATCCGACCAAAACCGAGCAAACAACATTCGAGGATGGCCTAATACACTGTGTGGGAACAACCTAAGGTCGTCTGCTCTTACCTTAAGCGAATCAGTGTAGGGGGTAATCAAATCGTAGGTTAGCCATCAAAGACTTATTATATAAATGACGTGCACGTAGTTCCTACTATTTATTGATAATGGAAGGAGGGAACAGCTTAATGAAGCGAAATTCCTGATGCTGAAATACCTTCAATTACGCAAAAATGAGTCGTGTCCATCAGTCCGTCCTTTCTTCCACGTGTATCGTCTTCGAATCTCCATACACAAAGAGTTTCGGGCTCAACCTCCGGTGCTGTTCTGTACTGCATACGGGGCATTCAGTTGACAACACACTTGGCTTAGCAAAAACCGCGTTCGGCATTTTCTATTGAGTGAAAAGGGTTTATTGGAGTATACAACCAAACCAGGTGTCTCTAGTGAGTCATTCTTTTCTCTCAAAACCATCTGGTGTACCCAGTTTCCCGTCAAATACGGGCTAATTCTCGGAACCAAGATTGAATCCAAGGGATCCAGTCAGCACTGGATTGGGTAATTTGCACACAGGATTACCAACCACCCTCAGTGGTAGTCGCCCCATCCACTTCTACTCGGTTCCTCATCTGAGAATGGACAGCTGTAAGCACGTTAAAAGGACAGTCCCGGATCAAGCAAGCTCGCACTGACTGGTTCTCAATACGGACCTTGCTCGCAAAAAAAAGCAATCGAAAACCAGAAATCGTCTATTTGTGGCACCCTTTAGGTGGACTGCCACCATGCAACGTGAACGAACTACAAGGGACAAGGCATTCCGCGTTACCGAAACGTAGACGTAGGCAGCAAGTTTTGGTTGGGCAAAATTGTTTTGGAAGGTATTGTTTACTACGGAATACAATCTTTGCTGGCTAACCAACGTGAAAATACACTCCAAGTCACATCACAAGGCATTCCGCGTTACCGAAACGTAGACGTAGGCAGCAAGTCAGATTTGGGCAAAATTGTTTTGGAAGGTATTGTTTACTACGGAATACAATCTTTGCTGGCTAACCAACGTGAAAATACACTCCAGGCAAGTCACATCACTTGGGACAGCTTTCCGTACCTCTTTGGTGATGTGTTATCAACCTCTTTTAAACGAAACGTGCGACTACGTGACGTGCACCCCATGACTGAAGGATGGACGGCGCTAAATTCCATGTGAGTGCGATCTAACCACCCTGCTGATCAGCCGCTCGTAGATGGCTTGTTAAAACTTCCAAGCGAGGAATCGCGTAATGTGCATCCTCTGGAGTTTCATGAGATGTGCACTGCTGACGATTCCCCTAAAGCTGAAACAGCTGTACAGTGCTTCTCGGCTTTTCAGGACAGATTAGCTTCACTTAGAGGGCGAAATTCCCAGTCTGATGAACAGAGTCTAGGAGGAACAAGTAGAATGTAATGTAATCCGACTACTAACCAGTCTTGGCATATCCGCGTCGTACTCGGTAAGAATAAGAATGCGCACCGTGTGAAATCTACTCGGAAGGGAGAGAAAGATAAAGCAGTTTTTTTTTACAAACATAACATTTCGATTACCGTTGATAATCTCCGTCAGGAGCACTTATAAACCAACGATCAGATAGACGTTGAAGTAGTCTGTTTTGTTGAGTCCTAGGAACAACCAAGGATCAAGATTTTACGGCCTGACAAAGATCCACAAGGAGGGGACACCAATCGGACCGATTGTGCATCATACAACTACACTTACAGACATTTAAAACTCAAAAACCGGATTCTTCGGCCGCTCCAGAAAGATCTGATAAGCAAGCCCGGAGATTTCTCCGAGTTTGTTAACAAACACAGACAAAAAAACTCACACGCTAATGAAATATACCTCAGCTTCGACTATCCATGTGCCCCAGCTTACTTACCGGTGAAAGCCTCGATATTTTGAATCACCTGTGAGATAACGACGCATTTTTAGCCTCCTGTACTAATGAGCTGTAATAAGGGCTAAACTTCAGTCCAGTGCTTCCCCATTTGATGCAGACTAAACGAAATTGCGCCAGAATACAAGAGTGGTATGAAAGTGGACCCTAGAGATCCCTCAAACATTTACAGCTAGAAACTTCCGAATGGTGACAGTTACTTATCGTGCTCCTCAAGATGCTCCGAGATGATGAAACCAAAAAGGAAAGGATTTACAGCTTACTTTTAAGGTTCCTGTAAAATGTAAACAACGTAGCTTTGGCTGAGATTCTACTGTGGTCCCGTTAATACAGAGGCATCTTTCAAGTTACTGTGCAACACTGCACACGTTGATAGGCTTAACATGCCCGTGTTCAGACGACAGGTAATCCGAAAGGGAAAAGGTGCTAGGTAGGTAGTTTGGATCGGTAGTGTTTACTATGCACGTTCCTCGGGAGTGGCTATTCAAGCAAGGGAAAGTACTCGGCTAGGAGTAGCCTACTTCGCTGGTAAGGTAACAAACTGATAGAAGAAGCGTATAAATCAAAACGCGACAAAATGAGAAGCTGCGTTGGCCAGGGGTAACATGTTCAGGTGACTGGTCGCTTCCACGTTCAAGGTTGCGAATCACAGAATGGCTGCGTCATCGGATGCCGATCGCCAAATACCTGATAATCGTTCAGCTGTACCTTTTTGGCACCTAGCTGCCACGCCACACGAAGGAGGCACGAGGGCTGGGATACTGCTAGGTAGCCCAAGCCTAGACAGGGGAAGTCGAGTAGCAGAGGTCGGGTTCGAACCACGGACCTTCCGGTCAGTAAATTCGCCATGATATGGGACTTAGTATATCTGACGTCGGTTACGTGTGTGTGCTGATGAACAATTTTACAAATCCCGTAGCGGATGCTGAACTCCACCAAGTCCTCTGCAGTTTGTCGTTGTACGGCAAGGCGGGAAATCCCCAATAGCTGAGACTAACAAACAGCCATGTGCTGAAATCTCATAAACCTTAGGGTGATGATTCGGTGGTTGACGAACTAGAATTTAATGAACTGAAGGTAGACTGGGTGAAAGTGGATGATCTGAAATGGGTAAATCGACCAGATGGATGGACAAATTAAACCATCGTGTATGCAAAAAGGAAAGATGGATGTAGGGAATTTGACCGATAAACTTTGGAATTGTGTTTCCAGTATCAGACCAAACATGCTTTTCTCGGGTTGTTGTGAACGCAATCGAACATGTACTGCGCGAAGCTAGGAGAGCATCGTTTTTGTTAGCTTACTTGGGTTTGACTGGCTCAATCGCTTACATCTTTGATATCAGTCCGAGGCTTCTGGATGAGCTCCTTGCCCCCAAAATCTCCTATTGGCTTGAGTGGACAAAACTTTAGCTGAATAGAAAACTAAGAAGTACTCCGACAGACCCTCCGAATAAATATAGGGACTCTGCGCATCTTCGTTGCTTTTTGTAGACTAAACCGTGCTGGTATGTCTTGCATAAGGGCACTTGGGATTATGGCGTGAAAAAATTTTATTACCCAGGGAGAATCTAGTTTTAATTAGGTCTTCGCTAAGAAATCTGGATTGCCTGCCTGCAGGTGAAACGTTCCTTTAGTTAACCTTGGACGCTACACTATCCGGGTTTTGCTTACTCAAACCAGGCGATGTTCCATGCTCAGAAAAATCTAATCCGACGGATTATTCTTCCTTGATCATCTCTAATATGTGGTCGACACCACGGAATAGTAAGAAACCTCCGTGCAGTGAAGCGCGTCATGGCTACCTGGAGTTCTGCCTGGATCGCGTTGTCCCTGGGAAACCTTGTATATAAGCTCAGGCCGTTCCACCCACTCACCGAAGGATGAGTGGCGTTATATACTGTCTAAGAACGAATTAGTCACAACGCCGAGCAGGATCTCGTGACCGAACAGTCAAGTGTTTCAGCCGACAGCCGATAAGTCGCGCGTTTCAATAGACGTGGACTGATGATTATGCCAAATATGAACGAAACGGCTGTACAATGCCTCTCGGTTTTTCAGCCTAGATTGGCCCCATTTACAGGATGAAATGTCAATCGAAAATTTCTAAATACCAAACTAACAATGGATATGTGCCTGTATAAATCTTAAGACAATAAGTAATTGTATTTCTCACCCATCACGTTCACAGATGATCAGTTGTTCATTGCACAACACCGGGGAGCATCGATACGCAAGAACATCAGCACATGAAAACTTCATGTTTTGTTATCTCGCCGGCCTGATGATCTCAGAGTCATCAGTCAGAGGCAAACTTTCGCAATATGCGCGTGATTCATCCTCCATCACAGGACGTTTACGCCCTCGTAAGTCCCCGCTGTTTCACCCTCCCTCAGATTACTATTTCCCTCAGTTTTCGTATGTGTAGTGTTTATACACATGTACGTCTCCGTATTCCTGGTAGAACGATTGTCGAAAATATTGATGGAAAAATTCCTTGTCTTACTTTGTCTGAGACCAGTCAGTGATCATGGTCAAACAAGGTCATAAAATGCGCTAAATAACGACTAGCCTTCACGCAGTGATGCAGCGAAAAAACCATTAGCATAAATAGCATTGGGACTGATGTCCCGCTAAAAATGAGTTCGCCATATTTTTTTAATCGAAAAGCTTTGCAAAAATAAGATTCAGTCTGAAGTCCACCCTCAAAAGACAGAAACGTCACATATGAATTGTTACGAATGATTGTCACGTGAAGAGAACACAAGATGCCAACCGGCTGGAGCCATTCTGGTCATACTTTACCGTATCTGAGTCCTAATACCTAATGGTTAGAGTATATGGCCAGGGATACATCTGTTTTCATGTGTCGTTTGTGGTGTTTTTTGCACCAAAAGTTCTCCTTCAAATGCATGCGCTAAAAATTACGAATTAAAAAAAGCCTTCTGATTTTCTGAAAATGGCCGGCAAAAAAGGGGCAATTCAAGGGGGTACAGGTAAGACCAAGCGGTTGCGAGTGATCAAAGTTTTTCTACCTTAGAAACGATATGATAGCTGTGAATAGTGACCGGTAAAATGATAAAGGAGCATACACACAGCCAATTAGAACAGGTAACAATCAGTAGTGTGGATTTCTGTACGGAGTGAGGTTAAAATGGCCTCGAAAACAACTTACTCAAAAGTTTCTTCTCCACTTTATCCGCCAAATCTTGATAGGACTTTCTTGCAGTTTGTTCAGTAGTACATGTTGCTACGGTCGATGATTCAGAATCCTCGTCATCCGTAGTATCAGAATCCTCAGTGGTCAGACCGGATGCGCTACCACCAGACATTTGAAATAAGACAAATCCAAAATAATTGTCGTCAGGGAAAATCCGTCAGCCTGTATAGGAGATATTCACGTGAAGACAACAGAGCGGGTATAAACACCCGCATCAGCTTCTCTGCAAAAGCAACAGAAGACTCAGGAAAATGTACAACATTGACTAAGGTTCGTAAAATGTAGGAAGTGGCAGAGATAGCTGAATGATCAGGAAAATGAGACTGATTGCAAATGAACCAACTGGTCTGTCAAGGAATGCATGAGTGTTTGGAAACCGCTACGATCCAACAAGTTCTGTGGCGTTAGTGATTATGCTCAGATGGATAGGATCTGCAGTGCAGATGCAAACCAGATTCAAAAGTAGATTCGTGACATGAATGTATAGTGGTACATCCCGGCCCAGGATTCAGCAACGACTAAGACTCGTCAAAAGACTAACAGCCAGTAGGACAATACGTTTGACTAATGAACACTGTCGAGCAGAGAATGCAGTGCAAAGCCATAGTATGCTCCTTGGTAAGTCGCGGGATTCACTTTTGACAAGATTGCAGTGGATGACCCAACATAAGTGAACCTTCTCGAGATTGGGAATTACCACGATCCCCGAAAAATTCGAAGTTTGCGGTCGTCTTTTGAACATCAAGTGCATTAAGTATGTCGTGGTCTGTAATTCATGACATAGACCCGTGAAATCAAACAGAGCCAATGAAAATCCATGCTCAATGGGCAATGCCACAAATGCCTTGTGGTGGGATACCTGAATGTTCGGAACCGAGTTTAAACTCGAAGAAGACAGGAGAATGAACAAGGGACAAGGAATGTTCTAATGTCTCAACGCTCAGGAGATGCATACTAGGCGTTAGTACTAATCACCGTTCAGCTAGATCTGTACACCGATGTTCACAGACTGTCCCCTATGACACCGTAGTAGGCTGAGCACTCCAGAATGCCCGCAGTGTTGGTCCGGCCCTTTTAAAGATGGACAGACGAAATACAATATAATCAATCAACTTATCAGCTATAAACCGTGTACCGTAAGAACATTGGTTCCACCTGCTACAGTTTCGATCACCGGGAAGTGGAAGAGTATGGGATATACAGCGAAGCATTGGAGGCGATAAATAGTTTGTTCGGAAACTAGAAAACTATGCATTGAAGGTCACAGCCATGATGTACGAGCACCAATGACTGAGCGATTGGGCCAAATCCGCCGGTGTCACTAACCATTGGTGAGTTGAGTCCCGGAGTCCCCATTCAGAGATGCAGCAGATGCTGATCCGACCAAACATACTGGTAAGTGTTTTAATGCTTCGTTACCAGGTCATACACTGTCCACCTCTCGGACCCCTTCACTCACTCACTTTTTGATCCGACCCAGTCTTGTAGCAGCACTCCACGCTTCGCAGTTGTGAAAGCATACCTTAGTTAACTCGATTCCATTCAACATCTAAGCAATCTTCATCATCCGAATGACTGTGCGTTTACAGTAGCTTTCTAGTCAGATCAACTGGATACTCTTGAACCACTGAAACTTGCCGAAGCCGATGAATGGAACTGCTCTGCTCTGGCACAGATAATGGTGATGGAAGGCGAAATCATAACCCAAGTTGCACAATGGCACGATTATAATAGGGCTACGTACCCCAAAAGGAATGACAATCCTTAATTGACGCTCTCCATCGTTAACGGAAAGCCACATGGTCCAATAGAGTCCATGACTAGCCTGCCGTTGATGGCCCGCAAGTAACTCGATGTGAGCGTTTGTATTGACAGTTCATACTGGCCAGGAACAGATGGTTATCTGTACAGAACTGAAGCAGTCGCTCCCCATAATCCGTACGCTCCAAATCGACCACCTAACTGTGCTTCTTCCGGACTTAGTCGGCCAAATAGGGCGTTCATATCACCGCTAGGATTAAAATATCTGTCCTTCTTGCTGATCGAAGCAGTCGTAGCAGATCCTGATAAAAGCCGCCCTTTCCAGTCTCAGAACTACTCCCTGTCGAGGCATATGCCGATACAACAAATAAACACCGTTTACCGCACCGACCTGCATTGATCTTAAGTGAGCCAGACAACCACACAGAGCAAAGATGACTATTTACTGGGATCCAGTCCAGTAAGACGCTTTCAGCTTTGGGCCTGAGTGCAACTGCCACACCTTAGATACCACGAACCATTGCGCCAGGATCGCAAGGTACCAGAAGAGTGAAATGTGCAACATCTGAAGTCGTTCTAATCGGCTTGAGGTGAACGGCTGAAGTGGGAGCTTGCATGCGCGTTTCGGAGACACACTGTATATCGACAGATGAGGAAAGCAATTTTTAGCAGAAGATACCGCTTGTCCCTGACATTAAAAGATGCAACGTGGATCAGGTTTTTTGAGGTTGATGATTTTCTCTTGGAGCCGGTTTGGACACGGAACATCGGCTAGGGGACTGGCAGATGGGTTGACCGGACTGAATCGTTCGATGGATGGGGAGGGGTCGAAATGGAAGGCCGGCGAGCGAAGAACTGTAAGGGTGGATGATGCTTCCTGGTTGCCCAAGCCGAAGGGGGTTTGGTTGAGGTACCCCACCTTGAGCCCCCGACTCCAACAAGGCCCTGGGAGGATTTCAGGTCTTTTTCAGGGACTCTGCCCCCAGCCTCTGACTCAAAAGTTTGAACCGCATGGCAGCGGTTGTTAAGGTTGTCTTGGGGGACCCTTCCCAGAGCCAATGACTCAATAACATGATCCATTTGGTTACAGGAGGTCGGTTTGGCGCGAGGACGCACGGAGTAAGGTATTACTGTCTCGCTCCTAGTGCAGCTGCGCACACTAGGTTCCGGACTCTTGGTTCTAAAAGTATTACGACCGTATAGAATAATGCGCCGGCCGTCATGGTCAACTACTGAGCGATTGGAGTTTGCGGGTTTTAGGGATGACCTATTATAATCCTTCCATCCTCGGGGGAATGCAGCATCGCCGCTCCCATAAATATGGATATACTGGCCACCTGTGGGAAACCACTTACTGCTTTCATACCTCTATAGCAGGGGACAGTACAACTTCACCTCCAGACCGCCTAGTAATACAACTCATCGCAGTACGGGGACTCGCTGTTCTTCGTCGGACTCCTCCCCTTTGGACTTCCTGGGATAGTTTAAACAGAGTTACAGCCAATATAACCTGCAGGGCCGTTGCAGCACAGAAGCCTGAGCACCACCATAAGATTACAGCTTTAGGTCGTGACAAAAAATACATACAAGCAGAATATAATAAGGTACATCACATCACACCTCAAAACAACACAGCACAACACAATGCAATGCGTACAAAGCAGATTTGAGATAGAAAAGAAAAATAGCATTCAGCCTGACGAAAAATAACTTCCATTCCCTTTAGGTTTGAAGATGGACACGGCTGAAGAGTTGACACTCACAACATGCGTAAAAAGTTGTTCAACCATACATGACACGCGCCTTAAACATAAGCATATGGCCAGCTGGTGTTAGCCATCATTCAGCTTGGTCTATACAACGATGGTTTCTGAAGGTCAGCTCTACCGCCGCTATGGGTTAACACTAACGCTATCCAGGGCATTAAGGTGAGGCCATGCCGAGAAAGATGAGAAAAGCATGGCGGTCGGACTGAATAGTATCCACCTCAGATACAATGAAAGCTGCTTTACTAACAAGCAAGACCCACGATGCATCTGCGGTTAGGCACAGTTCAGCTTCTTTTCATCCACGTTGTGATAATTGTAAATCATTTCCAGAAGCATCATGCACTTGGTAATGGTCACGGAATGTCACTCCTAACACCGCGTTTGCTATCTGAAATACGAAAATAATGATGAAAAGTTTGGGTAATGCCTGTGCGACCCTCTTTCCAGGATGGAGTCCACGCGATGCTTCTTGGTGATCGCTTTCTACAACCGTGTGTCGGTCACTGCCTGCTTATCAAGGCCAGAAGCTTTCAGTGCGGACGTGGCGCCCTCTCAATCGCAACCATAACTACCTAGCGACTACCTATGGATGGCGAGCCTGTGTTCATGACGGTCACTTTTTGGAACACATGTACTAGAAAAAATCGTCCAGCTGTAGCACCCTACTGCCATGCCACTAGAAGGAGGCAAGAGGGCTGGGATACTGCCAAGTTGTCGAGAAGCAGAGGTCGGGTTCGAACCACGGGCCTTCCGACCAGTAAATTCGCGCTCTAACCACTGAGCCATCTCGCCCCCTGGACAAGGAAGGCGATCCTGTACAGCGGATAATACGACTCAGTGAGATCTTTAGAGCTACGACTGACGCGTATTCTCAAAATTGATTGGGATAAGTCGTGGATAAGTAAGGTTCAGGAAATAAAAAAGATGGCGCCGATCGAAAATCGTCGAGCACCTTTTAAACTTACCCTAAACAGCTGGGAGAGAAAACCTCCGGTCGATGGGCTCAAAAGTCCATTCCAAGTCACGCTATTCACTGTGGTGAGCGGGACACTTCGAAGAACTTAGCGGACTTAAGGTGCACAGCACAATGGGCAGCGCAACATCAGCTCCACAAAGGGCAAAAACGGCCCACTTCCAACAGAATCTGATACCAGAAATGAAACCAAACTCCTGGAGAAGAACAACAACGGCCCCGTCCAACATTGTTTGAGAAAAGAGAGGGATGCGCTCATAGTCTGACAAAAATCATAAAACATTTGGGAGGCGAGCGAATTACCGAGGGATCGGGGAAATCCAGTCGTTCCTTAATTCCTTAATTTCGAAATAATCGGCGCATCAGCCTCGTTACCATCGCTCTTAGGTTGATCACACGTATTCACCCTAAACAGAAGAACCAAAGTAGCGAAAGCTAAGCCACATTTCCCGTGAATTGTGGACGAAGCGACCAAATATTTCCACTGTTGCAACCCAGGCATCGTCACACACTAGCGGTTGCTATCCTGTTATGTCTAATAGCGGTGTCCGACATAGCTGGTTGAGCTGCTCTGCGGTGATGTCCCACCTTTAAAGATGTTCCGAAAATTTCCTTGCACCACTGCATGAACAAGTAGAAGTCCGCGGACAGTGTTTTCCCGAGTACATCATCAAACGTTTGGCTGTTGGTCTGTTCGCCGAGCTTGGCAG